ATAAAATTATTTATAATTACAATAAAATAGCAAAAGTGCAATACACAAGAAATTCTCTCGCTCGTTCACTCTCCCCCGCTGTCTCGCTCTCTCACACACACACACACATCAAACTCTCCCACGATTTGGAAAACAAAATATCTATATATCCTTTGGAATTGTGCGGGTGTTCCTTTTGTAGACAACAGCTAGGATTAAAGACGGACAGGCGTGCCCACATAAATTTCACAATTATTTTGTGCTGGATCCTTTTGTGGCTCGCACACTGTCTGCTAATTAATTCGAGACACGTTTATATGCTTGTGCGTGTGAGCCGTGATCCTTGATCTTTGATCCTTGTTGATCCCTGTTTCGGTTATAAGTTCTACAAAATTGTTGTTAATGTTATTATGAAGTTGGAACAGAAGCGTAAATTCATCGAAATGGTAAATAATTGAGATCAATATATGTTTGAGAATATTTTTATATATAATTTGGAATATTTTCATATATAATTTGGAATATTTTTATATATAATTTGGAATATTTTTATATATAATTTGGAATATTTTTATATATAAATATATTTATATTTTGAGTTTAAAGTTTTTTTGCCCAAAGTTTTACTAGAAATTGATAAACATTTTTAGCCAAAGCTTAACGCTATTTTAATACATTTTTAATTTTTTTTTTTTTTTTTTTATAGACGTCACATTATTTTTGTTTAATATATTGGTATTAACTAATATTTTTGTATTTATTTATATATTTATTTATTTAGACAATTTATTTTTTTTGACAATACTCTTCCACAATTTATTTTTTTTTAATTATTAATTTTCTTTTATACATTATTCTATACACATATATTTTATTATAATTTCATAAATTTGTTTATTCGTATTTTTCCATTTTAAAAAAAATATTATTATATTCTCATATTAGTTTGTTTTACTTATTATTATTATTATTATTATATTTATTTTTTATTTTTGTTATGTATTTTTATTAATTTTATTATTATATTTTTAAAATGCAGCATTTATTCTTAAAAATAGTTCTATATTTCCTGATGTATATGCATTTTATTCATATATGTATTTTTATAGTTTTATAAATTTATATATATATATCCGTCTCTTTTTGTTATTTTTATTATTCAACTAATTTTTTTTTCTTGCAGGACACTGAACTTGGCTGCGAGCCGCCATCGGCGAAGCGCCAACAGCGTTTAGCTGACGCTGACGGTGGGGCTGACGATGACGCTGACCTTGGCATTGACGTTGGCGAGCCTTATAGAAGGAATCGAAATAGACAAAAGTCTTCGGTGTCCTCCACGGCGGACACATGGCCAGTGGGGTTGGCGACAACTCGCATACCCTATATGCCAGTAGAGCAGCCGGCGCCACACAGTCCGCTGCCCGATAGCCCAGACAGTCCGCCCAGTCCGGATCGCGGTGCCAAACAGCAGCCGGTGGTAGTGCGCTATGCGAGCGTAGAGGCAGAATATGCTGCCCTTCTGAATGAGGTGCTGGATGATAGCGACGATGATGAGCCAGAGGAGCCAGAGGACGAGGAAGACGTTGAGGATGATGATGACGAAATTGAGCAAATCAATTCATCAAGCTCATCGCCCGCCTCCTCCACGGCCACCGGCTGCAGTCTGAATGGCGAACGGACGCCAGCGACACAACAGCTGTCGACGACGACGCAGCATCCCAGCGATGTCAGCAGCAGCAGCAGTCGCAAGGATGCATTGAGGAAATTAAATGCACTCGAAGATTCGAATGCCTTTTCCAGCGTCAATTGTTTGTCGCCCGCTGCTGAGTCACCGATTCGTCAGTGTCCATTGCCTGCGCTGTCCTGGGCCAATGCGTCGGAGGTGTGGAAACGCATGTGCCAGCGAGATGAGCAGGATTCACATTTGCGCAGCAGCAGCATGCTGGAGCATCATCCTGGGCTGCAGCCACGCATGCGTGCCATCCTGCTAGACTGGCTGATCGAGGTGTGCGAGGTGTACAAGCTGCACCGTGAGACCTTCTATCTGGCCGTCGATTATCTGGATCGGTATTTGCATGTCGCACGGCAGGTGCAAAAGACCCATCTGCAGCTATTCGGCATCACCTGTCTGTTTGTCGCTGCCAAGGTTGAGGAAATCTATCCGCCCAAAATAAGTGAATTCGCCTATGTCACGGACGGCGCCTGCACCGAGCGCGACATATTGCAGCACGAGAAGCTGCTGCTGCAGACAATCAACTGGGACATTTGCCCCATCACAGCAACCGCCTGGCTGGGCGTCTATATGCAGCTGAATGTGAGCAATCGCACGCCAGCTTCCTTTGCGCAGATCGGCAGGCAAGCGAGAGCGGAGGCGGCAGCAGGGGCGAGAGCGGGAGCTGCAGCGTCAGCTGATTCCGATGATGCCTTCATCTATCCACAGTTTTCGGCCTATGAGTTCGTTCAAACCTCACAGCTGCTCGATCTGTGCACCCTCGACGTGGGCATGGCCAATTATCCATATTCAATATTGGCCGCAGCGGCCATGAGTCATACATTCAATCGGTAAGTTTTAACTCTAGTTTCGCTCAAATTGAAAATACGTAATAGAAACAGTATGATTAATTTTCAGTTCGATCTCATTAAGGTCTTCATCCACCTAGTTTCATATACTAAATTCCATACTCTCTTTCGCTTTCCCTCTTTAGTGAAACGGCTTTGCGCAGCTCTGGCCTCGATTGGCAAGCGATTCAGCCGTGCGCGCGTTGGATGGAGCCCTTCTTCCATGTCATATCGAAGCGAGCGCCTTACCTGCAGCTGAATGAGCAGAACGAGCAGGTGACAAATAAGTTCGGTGTAGCGCACATTTGCCCCAACATTGTGACCGACGATTCGCACATAATACAAACGCACACAACCACAATGGATATGTATGTAAGTATCTGGGAAATTTAATCAAAATAAACATATATGTACATATATAAACTGCATGCTAATAATAAATCTTGTTTATTCTGTAGGATGAATTGTTGATGGCTCAGAATGCATTGCATGCAATGCGCGCTCGCACTCAGGCCTCGCCGGCGACGGCGTTGCGAGCACCCGAAAGTCTGTTAACGCCGCCAGCCTCTAGTCACAAGCCGGACCTGGATAACAATGAGGATGAGGACGAGGAGCAGCATCAGCAGCAGCAGCAGCATGTGACGGCAGTAGCCAGCAGCAGCAGCGGCAGCACTAGCCACAGCCGCAGCAGTTCTTCCTCTACTCGAGCGCCGCTTCAGCCTGTCCAGAATCCTGCGTGTCCTGGCAGCAGTGGCGCTTAAGCTCTGCTTTTTTGTTGTCCTCCTGCTTACCCTTCTCTCTCTCTCTGTCTTGCGCACTTTGTAAACCCGCCCTCACAGATTTTAAGCTTAAGTGTTTCTAATATACATATATATATATATCTAACAACAAAAAATCAGCATATCTATTATAAATTATTTAAAATTAAGCACAAAGGTTAATTAGTTGCTTACAAAAATGCACAAAAAAATTAAAGAAATAATCAACTAAAAAGGTTAAAATGTTAAATATTTAAATGAAATTTTGCTTTTGTTTTTAAATTTTAGCTTAAATATATATTTAAAAAAAAATTCAAAATAAATATAAATATATTAAAACTAACCCTTATTTATACTAAGTAAAAAGTTGCTTAGAAAACATACGGAAATATTTAAAAAAAAGTAAAACAATTATTATTTTGATGATGAAAAAAAAAAAAAAAAAAAACTAAATAAATAATCAATAGTTAGTTAACTGTATTTATGTAATATTATAAAAACAGAGAAAGCAAGTCAAAATATGAATTCAACTTTAGCTTAAAAATTTTTGTTAAATATTTTTTTTTTTTGCTCAACTTCAAGCTGAGATCCAATGTAATTTATTTATAATCTTCTGAATGGCATATATGAATATAGACTAGGCTCAGCTATGACTAAAATGTACAGCAAACACACACATACACATTCATATATTCATGGCGTGAGGTATTAACAAAACTAAACAATATTATAGCCTGCAAACCTATATAAATTGGACTAAAACACTAAAATTAGCAAATTAAGTTGAGGATCATTCAATAAAACTAACAAATGACAATTGCTTTTAGAGGGCATTCATACATATATACTAACACTATACACATACATAAAACATAACTAAGCTGACTCGAATATATTTATAAATGAAAAGATATATAATTGGCAAACATAATTGAATTCTTATATATATATAATTATATATTTTTAGACTGCCATAATTTGCTAAGCAAATCAATACTGTATATATAAACCCCATATATAACTATATACATATATAATCAATCAAATATAATATATTACATAATATTATGTAAATGTAAAACTTTATGGCAAAAAAATAAGAAAAATAAATAAAAAGTAACATAGTAAAAAAATCAATAAAAACTTAAGTTAGGCTTAAATTACAAATGTAGTGTTCATAATTTTTAAGGCTTGAAATGGATAGAAAGAAAACATTTTGTAGCACATTAAGTTTTAGCTATAGTTTGTTTTTTAAGCAATAATCGGTTTTTAAGATTTTGAATTGATTTTAAAATAATTTCACAAGTACGCTTATATACATGATTCAATGTAATTTAAACAAAAACTTAAACAAAATATTAAATAATAAATATTAATATTTTTGTATATGAAACAAAGCAAAACAAAATTATACAAGAGGTTTTATTGTTTATTTGTTTTTTTTTTTTTTTTACATATTCAATTTTAGTTTTAATCGTAAAGCTAAGTCGATACATTTGTTATCAAAGAAAAAACGTTTTACGATTTACGATTTAGCAAAAGCTTGTTTAGCTTTTTGTCAACTGTGCAGCATTCGCTTTTTTGCCACTCTGAATGTCATAGAGCTGAGCTTTTGCCAGTCATCACCTGCCGATATATCGATATGCAAGCGCAAGAGCGCGCTCTGTCTTGGTGTCATCGCCAGCAAGAACAAGAAACCGTCGCAACCCCAAAAAGTCGCCCGCGTGTTTTATCAAATGCTCCTCAATACGTCAACCCCAACCATTCGCAACAATTACCACTGCCTCTGCCGCTGCTGCTGCTTTCGAAATGGCGAGCAACAAAAGAGCGGCCCCAACCTGAGCGACGTGCTCATGTCTTCAGTTCGGTGCGTGAACCAGGCGAGTGTGGATGCGTTTATTGCGCGAGGCGCCAACAGCCAAAATAATTACATTAAAAAGCCCAAATATAACACAACAAAACTAAAACGCGACGCCTGAAATTATTATAAAACAAAAGTGCAATATATAGAAACAAAATAAATTCCAAAAGCATATGAAAATATGCATTTGTGGTTCGGCTATGGTGTACAAGCAAAAACGTGCATACAAATTACAGTTATAAATGTCTGTGTTGTATAAAGTATAAAAGAAAAAGCACATAGCGCAAATAATTAAAATAAAAGAAGCGCGATTCCAGTTTATAAAAGGCATGTAAGAAAATCTCTATACACTACAATTTCTTAAAAGCAAATGTAGAAAAAATTCCATCTATATCAATATATACATATGCCTATACATATGTATATATATTCATTTATGCACTCACATATATTTGTATATATATATATATGTATATATATGTATGTATGAAATGGTATAATATTTGTGAGCGCCAAAAAGCCGAAGAGCAGAGCCCAACTCAAACGCCGACGTCAGCGCCAACGTCAGCGCCAACGTCAGCGTTAATGTTAACGGTAACGCCAACGTCGCGCAGCCATATAAATCGTCTCTCGTCTCGAGCGTGTTCGAAAGTTAACGGTCCTGCCCGACGGCTCGCGTAGTAAAACCGTAGCGTGTGTGTTTTTGTCGGCAAAATCTGTGAGCGTTGACGGCGCCGTCAACTGCGCTGCGCTTCGCTGCACACGGAGCAGCCGCTGCTGTCGCCGTTACAAAGCATTCCTTTTCTTGTTTTTGGTCAAGCAGCGTTTTTCGCACTGGAGATTCGAAATTGCGAATTTGGCGCGCTAAGCAGCAAGTAAGTGTGACTGAACTAGTCCATGACAGAGAGAGAGAAAGAGAGAACTAGAGAGACAGAGCGAGAGATTGAGAGAGATAGTGAAGGATTCAGAGCGCATTCGAAAGAGCAAAATTAAAAAGTGTGAGAGCGGCTCTCACACATAGTATATATATGTGAAGCTGCACTCGTTGATTGCACAATAAAATTACACACACGCACACAGGCACATGTACACAAAAGAAAAGCGCTAGAAATCATTAGTATGTGTTTTTGTTGCTTTTCTTTTTTTTCGGTTGCAAAATCACATAAATTAGTAAAAGTTTCAAGTGGTGCCATAAATCAAAATTTGTTTGACATTGTGTGCGTGCGCATTATGCTCCACTCGGTGTCTATGTGTGTGTTTGACTGTTTGTGTTGCGCGCCCAAAAAAGTATGCTATGGTATTTTACTATTTACTACTACGCACGCTCACACACACAAGCACACTTCTAAACTGTATATATATATGGGCTTTGTGTGTATTCGTATAGTATATAATAACGGCATTATCGTGTACTACACAGCCACGCAGCTTACGCAGCTGCGTAAAATCTCAAGGCTTGACCAATGCCTCGTAACCTCGACAAACACTACTACAGCCCAACACTCCCCCTACCCACTCCACCCACTTACCCACAGCTTTGTTCAAAAAACTAACGCACAGCATCTTCACTAAGCCGTTCACCTACATAAAGACAAAGCTGTTGGTTAGTCTTCCTCTGTGTGTGTATGTATGTGCGTTTGTGTGAACTCACAGTGGCTGCTCGTTAAATAGAACTTTTTGTATCTAGGTATACAATTAAAATGTTTTTAATTATCCATATGTTTTTAATAAATATAATTTATTAATTATTTACATACATTTAATACATAAATATCTTTATTTATTTTTAAAATTTTTACTTCAATGTTTTAAGCAACTATAATTGTATAATATTCATTAACAAAAATTTGTATGTAATATTACTCTTTTCCAAAGCAATTGTGTGAAATTTCACTATAACAAGTACTCACTGTACCTGGCAAACGTAATCTTTTATTATCCTAGGTCTTTGCTTACTCTGCGTCCTTCAATAATTTTATTCCTTGTCTGTCTGTTCGTCCAGAGCCATCAGCTCAATTAATTGCTGCCTGTCACTCGAGTTGTTCACTTTAAAGTGCATCCTTGTTGGCCTCCGCTTCAGCTTCAGCTTCAGCTACAGTTACATCTGCTTCAGCTTCTTCTTCTTCGCCTCCATCATCTTCATCTTCTTCTTGCTGCAGCAAACAAATTATTCTGTGGCTCTGCTGTATTCTTCTCTTGGTTTTTGGCCAAAAACAAATTGGTTTCGAGTACTGCAGCTTGTTGGCAACTGCATGTCAGAGGATTTTGGTAACAGTATAGCCAAGATTGACTTCAACTAGATTTAGCCGGCTTAAAAGGCTTTGGCCCCAATTTATGGAGCACTTAAAATTAACCAGAATATATATAAATTAGTTGATTGTGGATTTGATATCATTCTTTGGCATAGTTTATGCAATTATAATTAGAGATATTTTAATATCTCTAATAAAAAAAAAAATCAGAGAGAAAATATTCCGAAAAAGATATATTAATATATATAAACTTTTATTTTTAAAAGTGTATAATTTATTAATTTGAGCTATTATCATGAAGGAAAGTATAAATAATATATATTATAAAATTAGAAACAATAAAAATAAAAAAATTTCGAATTAATTAGTTACTTGCAAAGAAAACAAAAATAAAATAAAAGTAAATCCAATATATTCTGCTTAAGAAACATTTCTATATTATATTATATATAATTTACATGACAAAAAATGCGTAAAGCGATACCTAATCAGAAAGCCTCACAAATAGTTTTCATTTTGTCCCATCATATATCTATATATAATATATCTATGATATACTTGCATACATATATAAAGATTTATCACTTAGCAAACAATTTTATATTATCAAAATCACACAGCCACGGACACATGACTTTTTACGTTGAAAACTTTACCATTGAAAATTTTTGCAATCACATTAATTCTATTACCGAAAAGTAAAAAGAAAATAAAAATCCCTCAAGGCCATATTTGTCCAGCCATTTAGTTGTTCTTGTTGCTGGTAAAAATGAAGAAAAACGTAAAAATAGACGCCAAAAGGCAAACACCGCATAAAAAGTAAAGGAACAATATATGTACAAAAAAAAAAACAAACAGTGTGAGCATTGCAGTCGGGTGTAACAGACTACGGCATACAGAACATGTAGCATTGATTATAAATGGGCCTTAGATTATGAATAGGCATTGGATTATAAACTAAACGATGTCAAAAGTAATCGAAGTGCAAAATTTTGTATTTTAGCTGTGGAACTGAGGCCGATATTGGTTTTCTTGATTAGGCCAACGTTCGTAAGCTATGATCTATAATTATTGATTATGTTGTTAGAGAATATAAGTGAAATCTAGCCATCTCAAATATTCTTAACCTTACTTAATGTAGTACATATAATTAGGAGCATATTTAAATAATTCAAGATACAATAGCAGGGATGAGCCTATATACCCATTTGCACGTTCACAGCGAGTATGAAAATATGAAAAGAAAAGCAAAGGAAAAATTGCGATATATGCGATATAATAAATCTTTAGTAAAACACGCAAAACTTTCTGAACGTGCGCCAACTATAAACTTTCGCTTTTCACAAAACGCTGGCCGTTATGTTTCTGCTGCTTCTTCTACTCTGTATTTTTTTTGTTCTTTACTTCGTAGCAGTTGCGCCAGTCTGCACATGCTTTTCTTTTATTTATTATTATTATTATTTTACTATGTTATGAGAGCCTTTTTTTTATATAACTATTATTATTTTTAGTGTGGCACACATATTTGCAATATGCCTTGTACGTGCAGCATTTGAGGTTTCTAATGAAGCGTGAGAGAGAGAGAGAGAGAGAGAGAGAGAGAGAGAGAGAGAGAGAGAGAGAGAGAGAGAGAGAGAGAGAGAGAGAGAGAGAGAGAGAGAGAGAGAGAGAGGAACTTTTGTATGCTATTAAAAAAGTAAAAATACATAATAAAAATTTAATTAACTTCACCGGGTGCTAGTAATTTATTTTTAGCTAAGAAATTCTTTATATTGATTTCAGTGATATCAATTATTTTACCATTAAATTACATTTTTTAAATTTTAGTATAAATATTTAACATATATTTTTATTGAGATACTCTAAATTCATAGACAGCTTGAAGAATAACAATTTCTATCAATATTTGAAACCCTCGCAGTTGCAAGTGGATCAAGGATTTGTCAGTTGGACTTTATAATTTAGAATAAATTCCCATACATAGCCATAGACAGATGCATATATTACTGTTTATGTGTGTGTGACTTGTGGCACATTAGTTGGCATTGCATTTGGAATATGTGTTGCATGCTTTTAGGCGTCGCTGACAAGCAGCGCTCGGGCCGCATCCTGTGCGTGGCTGCCGCTCCATTTCTGTCAAAGTTTTTGATGTGCAGGCGTGTTTTTGCAAAAAGAAGACAACACAAAAGGCGTGTAAAAGCATATATATATACATATATTTATATACATGTGTATGTATGTGTACGTATCGGTCACAATAAATTGTCTTTATTACATGCGGATGTGGTCGTTGCGGGTGCCAAGGGGAGCGGGTGGAGTTATGTGCGGGGCCGCAAAAGGCTTGCGCCATGTTTAATGAAAATTATTACGCGATATCCTTGGGGACACACTCGCATACACATACATACATACACTCAAGCAAACATACATTCACACATACATGCAGCAACTCGCACAATGTACAGCTATGTGCGCCTTTTTGGGGGTGGCATGCTCATACAAAAAAAAAAAAAAAAAAAAAAAAGAAGAAGAAATAAGTAGAAAAATGAGGAAGAAGAAGAAATATTCGCTTAACGGCACGACGTTGGGGGCCCAACTGAATGGAAGGATTCTGCTTTTGCCTTTACATTTGCCTCTGTCACGGCGCCTGCGCCTTGCCGCTGAGCGAGAAAGGATTCGACTTCGAAACCAGAGCATAAATTCTATGCTATGCTTTAATGTGTGTGTGAGTGAGTGTGTCTATGTATATGTGTGTGTGTGTGTGTGTGTTGGTCTGTATGTGGGTTTGTATATGTTGAGCAACGCATTTCTAGGTCAAACTCAAACTCCGCATAAAACAGCCCAATAAAATCCCATTTCAAACATACTTTCATTACTGCTCTAATGAAAAATACACTTTAACTGTTCTTTTATTTTTATATTTTTCATTTAAGCTAATAGAATTGAATTTTCCTTGTGCATAATTAAGTATAAAGTTTATGTTACTTTATTAACTAATATTAATATATGTCTTTGTTTTCTGCATTATTTCAGTTCAATTTCAAAAGGACAACTATAATTCCCCCATACGAATAGCACATATCTATAGGATCAATTATTAACTTTAACCGAAATTAGTTGCAAAAATGTTAAACATTCGTCAGAAATGTAATAAAAATTGTTGTTGGCAATTGAAGAAAATGCGGCAAACTTTTAGCTCCAAAACAAATAAATAAAATCTAACCGTTGCGATAACTTGACATAATTAAAAAAAAATTATATAAAAACGAAAAAGGAAAATAGAAAACGAATATTGTCAAAAAATAAAAATAAATTCGAAATTCATTTGGTAAACTATTTGTGGCTTTGCATCAAGATAAAAAGGCGAAATTAAATAGCAAAATAAACAAATAATATGAAAGTTGTGTGAGTAAATTGAAAATTGTTCATTGAGTGTCGGTTGCGTAGCCGCAGATTCAAACGAAACCAACATAAAAAAACAATAAAAAAAAATAAAAAATACATATTAAGTGAAAAACTCTGTCGAAATTTGTGAAAATAAAAGCAAGAGAAATAAACACGAAAATGGAGCGCAAACATTTTAGCTGGTTTTTGGCGCTGTTGCTGGGCGTATTAATAGTACAGAAGCGCATTTGCTCAGCTCTTGCCGATCAGGATGAGGATATACCACACAATGAGTAAGTATTAAATGGATTTCAATTTATTATCGTAAATTGGTGGAAGTGTTCGACTGGAAGATACCGTGACCCGCTCAACTGCATAATAATTGATTCATAATTGGATTTCATTAAAATTTTTAGTATATTATATAAATACTAGTCAGAAGAAGAAGAACTATTCATATTGAGGATATATATGCCTAATATATCATCCCCTTCGTCTATTTTTTTCTGTTTCTAATAAATTTATTTAGCGTATTTGGTAGTCATGCATTGCTGTCGTTTCCCTTACGTATTGTTTTCAAGCGCCATTTCCAATTATGCATAATTGAAAATTTATATTGAAGCGATGGAAATCGTTTTGTGTCATTTCCCCCTGCAGGAAATTAATTGTAAATTTGTTTATTTCGCTCAACTGAATACACGCAGTGTATAAATAGTTAGCCACGCAATGTTAACTCAATAGCCAATGGCCATAAATATGGATGTATCTATGCATATCATGTAAACAAATTGCTGTCTGATTTATGCAAATTCCAGTAAGCGTTTTGTGCACACGTGTGAAATGTGTTGAGAAAAACTAAATAAATAATATCAAAAGAGTGTTTACAGATCACTTAACAGTTGTTCCATTACATTATTCTGTTAATTGATATGTTAACTGTATGTGATGTTTACAGATCAGTTAACACGCGCAACAGTAAGCTATGTAAATTTAATATTCACAAAGTTAAAGTAAATTTTGGCTTCTATGTTTCCCATGCCTAACCATTAAAACACTAAAAACAAATTGTAAATGGAAAATGGAACGACAAAAAACATGCTAAATCTAATTTCAATAATTAAATGTGACATTAGGCAAAGAAGGAAAGAAAAGAAAACACTTAGTTGCCTAGGGGGAAGCCAGCACTGCAAATGGCAGTTGGTATTGGGTTAATTAGCCAAGTGAACATAGCGCTTACGTGACTGTCACACACACACACCCACAAGTACTGACTCACATACGCTAATTGCCAAATCCTATTATGTATCCATTAGATACTTTCGCTCACACTCTATCCATCACCCCCAAAACCACATTTTTGCCAAAATATATAGAAAATTGAATTAGTGCTTTATTTTTAACACTGTCGATTTGTGTGTGTAGGTGTTTGTGTATGTGCCATCTATTAGTTTATATTCACCGTACTTCATATATGAATTCTTCAAAATTTTATCTCTCATTATTTTTTATGGCAATTCGCTTTTCTTTTTTAATGATGCTGCTGGCAAGAAACATAAATATAATGGCATAGAAATGAGATAAATGACAAAAGTTGACTAACTGCACCAATATTGTTAAAGTATTTATGTATGGAAAGGTTCATTCTCATAAATAGTAAATAATATGCTATTTTGTTTGCTTTGCATATTTTAAACATTCATTCTGATGACGACTTTTTGTTTTCAAAATGTTTTTACTCAGACTAATATCGTTTTATGGGTAATTTTGAACCCTCAACTTTAGGCATTGGATGTGCTCACCTAGTTTGACGACGATTATATAAAAAATTTGTAGATGATCATGGAAAAGACTAAGAGATCTTACATAGACCACAATGAATGATTTATACTTATCATATCTCTATCGAAATTTAGGTTTAAATAAATATTATTCTAGATTTTTATATCCCGTGGACATACTTCTCTTTTTTCATAACTTTGGCCATTTTTGCAGCAAATGCTTAAAAAATTTAATTTATTAATTTAAGACCTAAAATTTGCTACTCCACATTTGTAGACGTAATATTTGTGTATGTATTTATTTATTTATACTGTTATATTTTTTTGTGTCACTGCAGAAATTCAATTAAATTTATTTCAACTTCTGCTGCCCCCAAAAAAAAAAAAAAAAAACACAGCAACTGAAACGAAAAGACTCCTTGAGGGCCAACAGCTTTGTCGGTTATGTTTGGGGCATTTAATGGGGATGACGATGATGCTGATGATGATCAACAGATGATGTTGCTCATGATGATGATGATAATAATGAAGTGGCGCTTCATGCCCATTGCTGCCCATTGCTTTTGATGTAACTGACCCAAATCGCTTTTACTAAAACTCTTTCTCTACTTGCAACGGATTTTTCGGCTCTTGTTGTTGCTGCTGTTGCTGTTGCTGTTGCTCATTCATTTGCCTCATTTACAGTTGCAGCACTGCCCAATTTAAATGCAATTGCCATTTGCTGAAACTTTAATAGCATCTGCATTGACACTTTTCCCTAGAAACCAATTTCTTGCTTTATTGTTCGCCATATCTCTCCATCTTGATTAATAAAAAATTCATTGAAACCAGAATATGGTAAATTAATTCGAAGCTATTTAGAACAATGTCTGAAAGGTATGGAAAACGATATCATATGTGTATTAGTTTGGTTGAGGCCTATTCATATTATTTGACAGGAAATCAGTTGAAAATATATTTATTATGAGTTGAAGTCTAAGTCAAAAAGTAGCACAGACTCCCACATCCAAAAATACGTTTTTTTCAGAGATTTATATTCAAACTCTGAGCATTTTCTGAACCCAGATGCATACTGAAGGAGACTTATATTAGGTATACGCCATGATAATTTCTTAAGTAAATGTTTGCCTCAACATTCTGTGCAGGTTTTTTACGATTTTTTTTTTCGTCAGCTTAAGAACCGTACTACAAAAACAGAGCGAATGGCATTCACTATATAAAAAAAATTTCGAGAAAAGTAAATGCAACACACGTAGGTAGCACAGACAAAAGACACTCACACACACACAGTCTCTTTGCCAAATTGAAGGAAACCGCAAAAAGCATTGACATGAAGACGGTAAAGCACCAATGAAAGACCATCAACGTCATCTTATGGGCTCTTGCCTGCATATGGACCGAAAGACTGTTTTCGTTTCGCTTTTTTTATACCCTGAACCCATTTTCAATGGGAAATCAGGGTATAATGGTTTTGTTGAAATGTATGTAACAGGGAGAAGGAGGCGTGGCAGACCCCACAAAGTATATATATTCTTGATCAGGGTGACGAGCTGAGTTGATTTGGCCCTGTCCGTCTGTCTGTCCGTCTGTCCGTCTGTCCGTCTGTCCGTCTGTCCGTATGTATGAACGCGTCGATTTCAGAAGATATAAGAGCTAGAGACTTCAAATTTTTTTTAAATGTCCGTAATTACAGCGCGCATATCAAGTTTATCATTAAAAATCGATAACTCATCTCGATCTTTTTTTATCGATAAAAAACCTTATCGAAACCCAGTTATAAAATTATATCTTCTACACCTTTATTGCTAGAGTCTCCAAATTTTTAATGTATGCTTATATGCAATTTATACAATTTCGGTTTTTGTTAAAATTTACCCCCCACCTCTAAATTCACCCCCTCACCCTCACTTTTGTAAAAAGCGTATTTCAAATACTAGAGACTTGTGCTTTGGCAATTACATGCATATTCATGTTATAATCATAATCTAAAAGTTTCATGAAGATCGTACGTCCATAAAAAAAGTTATTAAACAATTAAGTTCTCATAGTAAGCGCACACTGCAGCCCATGCGTGTTTATGCGTGGTTGCTTGTATGTGTATGTGTGTGTGTATGTGTGTGTGTGTATGCGTTTGTGTCTGTATGCGTGTGTGTGTGTATGTGTGTCTGTATGCGTGTGTGTGTATGTATACCTGTGTGTGCGTACGTGCGTGTGTGTGTGTGTGTGTGCGTGTTTCTTGTGTAAGCTGAAAGTCGCGAAAAAGTATTGAAATATCTATTGCTCCAAGGGTTCAGGGGATCTCGTAGTCGAGCAGTCTCGACTAGAGCTTTCTTACTTGTTTTTTTTTCATCTTGGCCTGGAAATATCAAAGAAAAAAAAAAATAGTCACATTTGGGCAGTTTGAGCACGACAAAACTTGACAATGGCAAGTACTACGTGCGGCATCTGAATTTTTATACAGCCCATCAAGTAGAGCCCGAGCCACAGTTCAGCTGCTCAGCTACTCACCTGCTGCTCACCTGTTTTGCATTGTCTGTTGCGTCTTTGGCTTTTGAGCACGAATCACGTATGTCATGCTCAAGTGCCATACACGTAATGCCATCGAACTAGTTTTCATTTCGGTCCACAGCATCGGGTTTTCACTTTTCACTTGTTTTTTGCCAAGTTTATACTCTGTTCAGGTAGAGTAGGTCAAAGGCTTTGGCCTGGTATCATTGAAATCAAAATGAGGTTATATTCTCCTCTTCGTGTTGTTTTTTTTTTCTTTCTAGATAATAATATATAGAGCTAGGGACTTACTGTGTATCTACATCTCTGTTATATTGTTTGGATAGTTGAAACAATGATGGAAAATTTTGGGTCTACATAAAATTTACTAAAGGGCGTTTTTCAATAAAACATATAATATTATTCAATATATAAGTCTTGGCTGGCAAACTTTTCCGTTTAAATTTTAAAACAAATATATGTATAGTTCAATATATGCTAACAATAAAAGTTGAAAAAGCATCTACAATAAATTAGAAGCTCACGTGGCGTATACGTAACATATTGTTTGTATTGAGCATTGACTAAAACGTAACTACGCAGTTAACTAAATATCTGGATACAGCCATCTATTTACAGTAGAAAAGTCACAGGCGCACAGAAATGCATAGATAAAACACAGGGAAGAAATAAAAAAATGCAGACAAAGTTGTTACGCTCTAAAATGATTTAAATTATATGAAAATTGTATTATAGCAACGATAGAGGAAGTTGTTGTTCGCACTTTTGGGTGTTGTTGCCGGCTGATTGCCGCAGAATATTGGAAACGGGACGACAAAGGGCGTGGAATGTGTGGGCAATGAACCGTTACAAAGTGAGAAAGACGCGATAGAAATTGGATAATGGCCATAATGGTCAGAAATTGTGAATGCAGAGGGCGCCTAATGAGCAATGGCGACTAGAGCGTAAAATAATTACGGAGAAGGTTGTAGTTCAACAGAGATGGAGCAAAGTGAGGTGGAGACAGAAGAAGAGAGCTAAAGAGGTAGACAGAGATGAGGGATAAAGGGAAATAGTGAGAGATAAAGAGATGGACTGATAAAGAGAGAAGGATAGATACTGACAGAGAAAGTAAAAGTCAGAGAGAGTCAGAGAGTACACGAAAATAGAAAAAATAAACAGAAAGCGAGAGTAGAAAAAAAAAATATATATATATAAATGAAGAGACGAATATGGAGGAAAAGGGCAGATATGCAGAAAGCAAGATCTTAGAAAAGGAAGAAGTGAGGGAGAAAGAGATACAGAAAGTTTGATAATAAAAGAGGGACACAGGGGAAAAAGATTGCGAGAGAAAGATTGATTGATTTTCCTAACAATTAATCCTAAGAGAAATTAAATTTAAGAAATGTAATTTTCATATATATATAATTTATATTTAATTCATTTCATATTTTATATTAATTTATTTATAATTTATATTTAATATGAAATTTTAAATATAAATAAAATGATTTAAATGTATATTCCTAAAAATCTATGTAAATATATCAATATCTTTATAAAGTACTAGCTGATGAATATATGTATATATATTTAGCTATATTGCAATATAATTCTATTTCACTTTCAATTTAATTAATTATTTTTTCCCCATCTTTGTTTCAGAGTGCGCAACTGGGCTCTCAAGTTTGGTGTAGATTTATGGGAATTTGGTCGCCAATTTACCAAAATGAATGAGATCAAAAGTGTGAGTAAATACTTAACATATCTACTATATATATGTATATGTATATGTATATGCCAAATGTCTGACTGGCTTAAATATAAATAGTCAAAATTGGCGTAGAGATTGGTTGAGAGGCTTTGCTGACATTTGCAAATAGCTGCGATTGCTTAAGTGTAAGTGCGGTTTACTTGGTTTACTTGGGGCTTAGTTAAGCAAATATGTATTTAAGCGATAAGAAATTATCGATAAATACGCAGACGATGTCGGCTTAGTGTGCCAGCCGGTTGGCTTTATACGCAAATGCGTCAATTTTTCGTTCGTGTAATTTTTTTTCCCCCTTTTTGCTGATATTTTGTTGTTCGTCTGCTTCTTGTGGCTTTTGTTGTTCCGACGCGGCTCTAATGCAATTTAAACACAAATAAGGCTAATTGAGGCAAGCCAGCAGCAGGGGCAATCGGCAAGGGTAGTATGCCCTATGTCCGTGTGTGTGTGTGTGTGTGCGCGCGTGTCTGTGTTAATAAGCATGACTGTTTGGCTTTAGCTCTGCGTTGACTGCGCTGTGGCTTTGGCTGTCGCCGTAGCCATAGCTCCGACTCTGGTGCTGGTGCTGGCTCTGACTCTGACTCTGACTATGGCGTAATTTTTTGCGTTTAATCAGACGTGCATGAGTTAGTGGGCTGCTTTTATTACGACTCTTTTTATACACTCTTGTGGGTGTGTAGGTGGATGTGTGTCGTCCATACACACACACACACACGCTTTAAATACACAAAACAAGTTAACAAAAGTATTTGCTTCTTGTATACGCTGTAAAACGTCTTAAAAATCAATAGAAAATAATTATATACGTTTTTTAAACTCAAATATTGGCATAAATTTATAAAAATAAATATGTAAATAAGGTATTAAATTTATATAAATTTGAACTGAGGGAATTGAAAAATTATAAAGAAAAATGAAAATTATAAAGAAAAATACATGAATTATATACATATATAATAAAAACTAAAAGTGTCATATGATAAACAGAAAAAAATTTTTTTTTCAATTATTTTAAATAATTTACTATTATTAAAATTAATTATATAAAAGGATTGATTATTTCGTAAAAAAAAAGTTTAAATTGATAAATACGAATGTATATAGGTATATATAAACATATTTATTTAGATATACATAGTTGTTCATGTCTCATAGTTGAGAATAACTGCAAGTAATAATAAATATATTTATTTTATTTTATTTTTTTCAAATTGAAAATTCGCATTTTTAGTCTAGAAATAATATTACCTTAATGAGTAAGAGTATTGAAATCAGTAAAAAGTATAGGCGTGCCAGCACTGAAAGCGTGACAGCAGTGGCAGCAGAGCCAACTGTGGCAAGAGAGGGGCGAATGAGGGAGGCAGCAGCAGCCCAGGCTGAAGCTAAAAATGCAAATAAATTTGCTGGCTGTGACTGTCATTGAGTCTGTAATTGTCAAGTGACTCGTTGTTGTTGTCCTTGCTGGCTGCGTTGCTGCTGACAATGTTTGTTTGTGTTAATTTAAAGCGCACGTCGCGCAACAAAAAAACAAAAAACAAAAAATAATATCCACAACAACAAAATGGAAATCTACGCCCAGATTGAATTAAATATCAAGTATACGCGACGTTGTGCGGCGTGCAAGGTTGTTTTTCGCACAGATCCCGCCTCTATCCGTATGCGTGAATTGTTATTTAGCCTCGCATGTGCGTATGCTTCATGAACATAATGTCATAAGAGTGTGTGAGGGTGTACGTGTGTGTGTATGCCTCTATATATGTGTGTGGACTGCGTGTTGGTGTGCCTTGTTTAACATTAACGCGTTTCTTTGGCAGCGCAAATAAATTGTATGTGTTTAAAAATTATTGGCATGCCAAAAAGGAACGAAGGATTCTCAACTGCTGACATGGGTTCCCTTCAAAAATGTCTAAAAAAAAAAAAAAATTAAATAGAATAAAAAATAAAAAGAGAAACGTTTCTTTTTTATGTTTTTGTTAGATAAATAATTGATAAATCATCTGAAAGGCATTCAGACAGACATGTCGGACAGTCTGCATAGTAGCATTTTTGCAGATTTATAGATTAGTATTTGCATATTAATAAAGGAAAGGTTTAGTTCCACAAATAAAATCAATGCATACCCAACGTTATTTAGAGAGATCATATAAATATTGAAATATCGTCGTTATTGTTATATATAAATATGTATATGTGTATATTCATATAAGTTTAATAAGGCTGCCTTTCGCAATTTCTGTTTCCAGGCCCTGGCATAGGTTTTTTTTCTTTAAAGAAGTCCCAGACTAGTTGCCTTATCATGTTAACTTTGACGTATTATTATTATTCTTCTAATTTAATTTAATTTATTATTATTATAAATTTTATTATTTTTGTGTATATATTACAAAAAGGAAATTACCCGAAAAAAAAATATGAAAATCATGCGAAATGCCCGAATTGTCGAAAGTTTTCTGGCCAATCCAAGCGAGCGACCTAAGCCATTTGACAGGCGCTCTGACCCAAATATATTTAGCCAACTTTGCAATCTGCCAACGAAAATGAAAAGTATTGACGTGACATTGCGACAATATTAATTCGATTCAATTCAATTATGAAGAAAAGATTCTCGACTTTCTACCAAATTTTCTGACAGTTGCCCTTCAAAAAGTTTTGCAGAGCTCAAAATAAGGAATTAAAAGATACCTACAAGAAAATGTGCCATTTTCCATTTTCTTTTTCAAGTTATGTTTGTTGTTGTTGTTGCTGTTTCCAGTTGTTGCTTGGCATTTTAAAGTAGCATAATAAAATGTAAAACAAATGCAGTGCACACGCTCAGCTATGCGAGTGCCACAAAGGACACAAAACAAAAATGGCTGACAGGATGCTGTATGTATATGTGAATGTGTGCATGTGCGTGTGTTTTTTGGATGCCTGTGCGTGGCGCATATTCATTTATTTTATTTTTCGTTACGTTTTGCGCTGACTAGCTAAAAAATATCTACCTAAGCCATGAAATATGTTGTTTCGACAGACAGATACACACCAAGATACACACATATATATATATGCGTGTGCGTGAATATATATATATATATATATATATATATATATATATATATATATATATATATATATATATATATGTGTATCTGTCTGTCGAAACAACATATTTCATAAAGTAGAGTAGGCAGAAAAAGAATGCCCTAAGATGGGCATGGCCTTATGTTGTTAAAATATTTACATATTTAAAAATAACAAATCTATACAATTCAAAGTATAAATAAATTAAATTAATTACAATCACACAACTTATCAATAAATTAATATCGTAAGTCAAATTTGTATTTAAAAATTTTTGTTTTTTTTTTAAATAATCTTTCGTATCCCAAGAGTGCAAGAGGAAATCTTAACAAGACAGAAAAAAGAATCATTTTGATTTTGTCTAATATCTAAAAATTAAAGTTGTTTAAAAGTGTAAATTTTATAATTATTTATTTATTTATTTTTTTAATATTTGACAATTTTTTATAAAGTTATTAATTTTTTTTTTTTTGTAAATAATCAACGTTGTAGACATTCAATTTCAATGAGAAATAAAAAGAGTTTTCTCAATTTGTCTTTTAAAGATAAACAGAGACACACGCACACACACACTCGCTTATAGACTCATATTGAATGGTGTGACATTAGAATTCTATTTACTCAGCTGCGTTACAAGCCACATAGATTTGTAATAGTAACCCCCAGGAACAGCTCAAACAACACACACACACACAAATATATATGCATACATACATTTGTATAAACATGGTATAGGCAGAGGCCTGGTCTGACAGCACACATTTGTGCTGTAGCACAAAATTACGGGCAGACAACGCGGCGTACACGTTATGCGAGAGAGACAGAGTGAGAGAGAAAGAGAGAGAGAGAGATTGAGAGAAAGCGAGATGTGGGTCTTAGTGAAATGGGCCGAAACGAGATGAGATGATACGAAACGAGACATCGATGGCAAATGATGATGTGCTGCTAATGATGATGTTGATGATGATGATTATGATGATGATGTTGGGAATGATGAAGTCGCGCTTTGCTGTTGTTGTTATTGCTGTTGTTGTTGTGATCATTATCAGCACATGTCTTGCGTCTTCTTCCTTTTTTGGACGATTTCTTCGCCTTTTATCTCGAGTGCAATGAAATATGGGTCAGAATACAAGTCGAAATTGCAAACACAATGAAAAAAAAAAAACAAAACAAAAAATTTGCGCATTTGTTGTTTATTTATTTGTTTTCTTTATTTAGTTGGCCTCTACACTTTGCATAGCTTTTCTTAACCTTCGCCTGCTGCCACTGCTGCTGCTTCTGGTAGCTCTAGCCATTTGGCTCGTCTCTCTTCTGCATTCGCATGCAAATAAATTTAAGCGTGCGCTCATTTTGCACGTAATACACAAACTTTTTAACTGTTAACTGAGGAAAATGTGAAGAGCGGCGCGTGCTCTCGTTTTTCTTCCCATTTTGTTCGCTTTCTTTTTTTGTTCTCTTTTCCCATTTGGCTTTTCTTGCAACTTATGCTCTCCTTCTGCTTCTTTTTTGTGCACTTGGCATTCGGGTTTGTATTCGCCGCTTATTGAAGGTAAAAGTAAACCTATCTGTAAGCTGACTTGATTGCAATTGCCCTGCGGGTGTGTCTCGGTGTGTCTGTGTGTGTGGGTGCTAGCGAGTATTTAGTTAAGGGCCGCGCATGAAAGACTTAATCAGTGGCTAAACTGACACAAGAGAGGGAGAGAGAGAACGAAAAAGCATTCGCTGGTATTTTTATATTGATTGAAGTGATTGAAAAATCCTACACTAAAAAAAAGTCCGAAAATCATATTGATATTGTTAAATTTTAATTTTTCTATTTTTGGAAATAAACTATGAGAAAAGAAAAGAGACGAAATAAAATACAAAAATAATGAAGAAATTAATAAAGTTCGAAAATTAAAAATACTATATTCAATTTAATATAAAAACTTTTTTAAAACTGAATAATTATATGTTTTTAGATACAAATTATTAAGATTCAAAAAATAAAATTTTATATATATATTCCTATTCTATTCCTTAACTTGCCATTTAAATTATTGTTTCAAATAATTTTTGAGCTAATGCAAATTTGGTATTCAAAGTTCATGCTTGTAATAATTTAAATATTAAACATTAAATCTGTCGACAGTAAATATTGAATGTTTGCTATGCGAACTGCCAGTCAATTGTCTTTGTGATGCTAAACTGCAAACAAATATTTAAATTTTACCATAAAGTGTCTGTATATGAGTGCCTATCCCTTTCTCTGTCTGTCTCTCTCTCTCACACACACTCTCTCTCTTGTCTGTGTGAATGTTTGCTTTTCTATGCAATTATAATTTTTGGGGTGTAACCCAAAATGCAGATTGTTGGCCATTTGTTTTGGGGCAAATGCTAGCTCCAGCTGGAATGCAGCTACCCCAGCTATCAGCTAGTTAACCCCTACATGCCGTGCACCCTCCTCTGTCCCTTCTGCACTCCCTAACATCAGCCGTCCATGCTGCTGCAGCTGCAGCTGCTGGTTGCATGTGTAGGCTTTTTGGTGACAAATACAAAGCGCTTGTTAAAGGCCAAAATGGGCTAAGAATGGTTGTGGCTATGCTTCTGGAGTTGGTGGGTGTGTGTGTGTGTGCGTATTTGGCTAACTAAGTGTGTGCGGCCGTATAGTGTTGCGGGCTGTAAAGGGACCAATCGTAAATCAAGGCATGACTACGGCGACGATGACGATGAAAACAACGTGGATGCGAACGCACTTGAGAGGGAGTGTGCCAAGACAGAGGTGGGTGTAAAGGGGGTGGGGGATAAGAAGTAGGGGCCATGGGCAACACCCACTTTACCAATGTTTAACTCAACTCTATGAGTTTTGTGCCCTTTGTGGTCCAGGGAGTTGGAGAATGCATTTAAGTTGAGGCAGAGGATCAGGCCACAGTAAACACTATATATGTATATATGTGTAAATGTATGCGTGCGTATGTGTGTGTGTATATATTATAGCAGAGCCAGTGCTTGTCTATGCAAATATTTAAGTCTGTTGTTGTCGTTTGGTGGCGAAAATTGCGAGTATGATATACGAGCAGAGTTCGGCAAGACAGAGAGATAGGAAAAGGGAGGGAGAGAGTTACGACTAGGCCATACGGCAAACAAATGTAAATAGGTTCGGGACTTGGGGTAAGGGTAGAGACAGTTGCAGTGCCTTTGCTGCTCTTAATGAAAATATAAAGCAAATTAAATATTTAATTTAATCAATGTGTTATGGGACCAGAGCTGGCACCAAAAGCATATTACATTTCCCACAAGCAATCTGTCAGCAAATGTATATTTCCACATGGAAAACATGAGAAATTCAAATGAATACTGCACTTAACTAAGGGTTAAAGCTGTCGTCAAATCAAAAAATAAATTAAACAAAAAAAAAAAAAAACTATATATATAAATATAAAATACTATAAAAATATTTATAGTCAAGTTGAAATGTAGAAAAATGGTAAAATAAACCTAATTATATTAATGTTAGGGTCCGATATGTTTAAGTTGGGTTAAGTTACAATCATTAATGTGTATATATCTTTAGATATATTTTACATTCCCGAACTATACAGTTAAGCTATAATATTTGAAATGCATAGTCAAAAACGCTTATTAAATTTGTATAATTATATTCTCCAATTCATGAGCATCATAAGTCGATATACGCTTTTACAGAAGTTCAGCCAGGTTTTTCCAGTTTTAATTATTCATTAAAAAAGCAGAAGGAAATCCGAGCTGAAACTGAAAATTGCAATCACAAGTTGAAAGTGCAGCCAATTAAAAAGCGATGCCAATTAAAAGTTTTGTGGCAAAAACAACATCAACATCAACATCAAAATCAAACTATAAACTCGTATAAAAGCCAAGGTAATATATATAAAAAAAAAAAAAAAAAAAGAAAATAAGAAGAAGAAGAAGAGAGAAACTGCAAAAGAATGGAAAAGGAGCTGTAAGTAAAAGAACGTGTTAAGAAAGTTGCGCTTCAATGCACATGAAAACATGCGCGTTAAAGCTTAACAATGTTGTCTGAAATGCAGCCAAGCTGGGGGGGAGGCTGGCTAAAATGCTAGATACAGCCGTGTGGGGCTGGGGCTTGCATAGCAGACGACATCTTCATTAAAATCTAATTAGCGCATTGCAAAGCAAGCGAACGAGCGAGCTGGCGCTTGAAAAGTGAGTCCTCGACTTGGCTGGCTGGAAGGTGAGGTGATGGGCAGATGGGCAGGTGCATGCTGGATGCTGCATGCGTAAGCTGCTTAACTTGGGCTGGAATTTAAGCAGCTGCTGGCAGGAGTCAGCAGTCAAGCAGGAGTCTTCAGTCGAGAAGTAAAGCTCAGCGCTGCTCAGGAATGTCAACTTTGGAGAGCTGTTGCCGAGCAGCTGCACCTTACTCGCTGTCCTTGCTCCAGTTAAAGTTTGATGCTGCTGCGGCTCTACTGCTGCTGCCAACTGCACACGCATGCAGTCAGGAGGAGGCAGCCAGTAGAAGCATTGCGTATGGGGTTTGAGCCTTCGGGGCGACTTCTTGCGCAACATTTTCAAATTCCAGAGTCAACCGCAAAATGAAAAAGTTTCTATGGCTGCTGTTGCCACACCTAACCCAACCAGCCGCCCAGCTTGCCACCGCCTACCGCCCACTTATATTGTATACATATTGTATATAGTAGTTTCTTTTTTTTTACTGTTGCCAGGACTCTCTCACACACACACGCACACATGCAACAGCGCACTTATGTCCTTCAGGCGTGCATTGCATTTCGATGCTGCTGCCGGGGGAAATTGCTTTATAAAATGTTGCAAGCTGTGCGGCCGATGCCGGGGTGCGGTTGCGGGTGCGTGGTTTGTGGGCGTGGCCATCGGCGCGACCATCTTGCTGTTAGCTTTTCTTTTATATGTATATATATACTTATATATATTTTATTTATTTATTTTATTTTTTTCTGCTGTGGTTAGCTTGTTTGATATGCTTTTAATTTTCAATACTTATTTCTTATATATATTTTTTTAACTTTCCAACACAACTTTCCAACCGATTCGCCTCTATCGTGTTTGTGATTTACTTCTTTTTTATGTTATTAACTATGATTTGAATATTTAAATATGTAAAATAATATTTAAAAAAAAAAACATAAATGGAAAATTTCTAAAAATTTTGATTTAATTTTTGAAGTAATATTCTCTTCGGTTTTAATTGTGTTTCATTTTTTTAAAATTGTTTACCTTGACAGTTTAGCAACATAAAATTAAATGTTATACATTTTAATAATTACTAAAGCACAAATGAAGCGATTATAGCGATTAGGTTCATTACATTTTCGATCGTTTAATCCCGTCAATTTGCCCATATATGTTATTTCGTGACAGTGTACCAAATTATCAGCATTGTCGGGCTGTGTTTCAATCCAAAGATAATTTTTTATGGGATCACCGTTGGAGAACCAAATATGCGTGCCTTCTTTTCCTGATCCGTGCCGGATATCCACTACAAATACTCAATGTGCCACTCACGAATATATCTATTGATATCATTCAATTCTCTAATAGAGTCTATCGTTATCAGTTCAAGACAAGAATCATATTCCACAAACATTTTTTCTATGTTTATGAGATTCTTTCCATATGCCAGGCATTTTATAACAAAAATCAAGAGAATACCTACCTAATTTCCGGCCCGGAGTAATGTAAACTTGTTCTTTCTCAAGTGTAAGTAAATTGTATTCAAAATATTTCTTAGTTCAACCAAAATTGAATTTTAATTTCTAAATATCTTGACTTGTTTATAGCAAAAAATTCTTAGTTCTTCTAAATATTTTGACTTGTTTATTGCCTGTTTATTATTCGCAAATCATTTATAGCTAAAGTATGGAGCAGGCAGGCTAAGGAAAATTTAAATAATATCATCTGAATAAATTAATCCTACCAGAGAACAAAAGAGGCAGTTACGGGCTGTTTAGCCTCGCAGATATAACGATTCAAAAATTCACACTGACGATCATTGAGTCCACTTCGAACACCATCCCTCCAGCCCATTTCATCACAGTGCTGTAAGTTGTCGACATTATTGGGCATTCCTGGATCCCAGATGTTAATATTAATTGGTTTTCCGCTCGAAAACCATGTGTGGTATCCCTCTTTACCCAGATCTGTGCCTGATGTCCAATAGGAGTAATCAATATTCGTCTCACGAATATATCGATTGATTATGTTCCATTCTTCGATAGTTTCTATCGTGATTAGTTCAGCATTCATCGTACGACATGTTTCATAGGCTTCGTACCAGTTTCTCTTGTTGTTCAATTCGAAAAAGTAATATCCAGTTCCGATCCTAACAAATGGGCCCGTTGTAAGGTTCGTGTTGGCAGGAATATCTTCAGGAATTTTGTTAAATAAATGTTTTTTGATATTACTTTAGACCTACTCACCAGGTGTTATAACTGGATATAATTTATATGACACACACAGAGCAAAGAATCCAAGAAACAGAAGAACAGAAACGTATTTCGCAGACATTCTGGCAGAACTCATTTCTATATTTTGATGGCTGGCCTTTTATATTGCAAATCGGTGAAATTCAATCATTTATGCTCTGTAAATTAACGCTATAGGGTATTTAAAGTTTTGATTGGCTAGAATATGTATGATTTCTCAAATCTCATTTCATTTTATCGAGGCATAATCCAAAATTTGTATTTCAATTTTTTACACCCAGAGCAGGGTATCAGGTAGCATTAGCATTAGCATTAGATAAATATTTATAGAAAACTTGTAGAGCAAGTGTTTATTATCAAATTGTTTATCTATTTGTTATTTGTTTATTTCTTTTCATTTATACAGATCACCTGCTGTTCATTATCAAAGTTTTGTTTCAAGTATTTGAGCAATTCCAAATTAGATGCCCTAGGTTGAAGGCCATATAGAATATAGTTGCTTATGCGTGATTTCTCAGATTTCTAGCAAAGATTATTCTACTTTTCAATGAGGTTCTGCAAGTTTATTGATTCTTAGCAGATATTAATTGTTTTTTTTTTTTTTTTTATTCAGCTTAATATATAATTAAATATAATATCATTTATTGACAATTTTGAGTCTATTTCTGCTTACGTTCAGCATAAGTTAACTAAGATAGAAAATTGTTCAGACTTGGCTTTTTCCATTTCATTTAGCCAACTATTTATAGATGAAATTACTTAACGACTTTTCATGCCTATGACATGTGATATGAACGTATATGTATATATACATATACATATAAATTTGCTGTATTTCGCTCTTAAAAAACACTTTGCTGCTTAATGTGTCTAATTAAATTTCACATGCCGTTGAACAGCAGACAGTTGTGCTTGCCTGCTCGCTCTCTCCTTTTCTCTGTCTCTCTTAGTCACTCAAGTTTGGCTTCATTTTCCACACACACATACACATGCACACACTTGAACGAGACACGCATTTAGTGGCCATGTTAATGTCTGACACATTTTGCTTTGCTTTTGATTTGACGTGCTGCTGCCACCCCTCAGCCTCATCCCCTGCCACCTACACACACACACATAGATACACACTAAGACACATCTCATTGCGAAAACATAATCATCTTTCCATTGAAACGTGTTGTCATTTGTTTTAATGTTCGAAGGCGCCGGGCAAAATGGCATTTTCCTAAGAGATTTGATGAGTTTTTCCCCATGCTCGATTTTTACATTTTTCTTCTTCTACTTCTTCGTATTCTTCTTCTGCCTCTGCTTTTTCTCCAAGTCATTCTTTTTCGCAGCTAGGAAACAGTGTAGCATTCTTTCTGAGCTGTAAGTTGGGGCTGCAAATGCATTTTATGACAGTCGAAAAGTTAAAGAAAAACTGTGCAATTAGCTGGGCGTGCGTGGGCGTGGCTAAAGGGGCAGTAACTGTCAGTTAAATTATATTTTCGTCGGCATTTTGTAATCATCAACGTACTGGCAGCATATTTCTATATCTATGTATGTGTGTGGTGTGTGTGTGTGTATATATGTATATGTACATGTCCCAAGCGAATTAATTAGAAAACTTTTCTTAACTGATTCAGTGCCAGCAGCAGCAGCAGCAGCATCATCAGCAGGGACTGAGCTGAGACACACGCATTCAAAGAACCTAGCAGACGCTGCTTTTTGTGAGCACACACACACACACACACACTCGAGCATATACACACTTCCACTGGAGACACTGCAAACATTTGCGGTTGGTGCCAAAATGCTGCTCGTGCTGCCACAAAACTAAAACTGTGAAAACTCTTTGAGGCATTCATTAGTTCGCTAAAGAAAATGTCATACAACTGAGCGAGCGTGTGTGTGTGTGTGTATGCCTGTCTGTGTATATGTGAATTGCAGTTAGCTAGAAAAGTGGCACAAATCCATGTAGCAATCAGAGTGCTGTCTTTGAGCGCATTATTAATTCAAACATGAGAATTTTAAACGCCCAAATTATGTTCGCTGAATTTAACATAAAATGGAAAAACGAAGGAAGTAAAAAGAGAGTAACGAAAAACGTTCTTTCATCCATTTCCGCCGGATATTAGCAAATGGCGCACGGATGACTTTTGACTTTTACATTTTCGCCGAAAATATATTTAGCTAAAATGTCAATGAACTCTACGTATTAAATGATATAGAAATATGATAAGCTGAGTATCTGGTGGGGCTAAAGTCTAGTCTTTATCTTACTGTTTATCGCTATGTTTCTCTCTGTTGCTCTCTCTCGCTTTCTAACAGAGTTATTTCGCTTTATCTCTCTCTCTCTCTTTCATTGTTCTTATTGTTATTCTACCGCCCTTCTCTGTCTTCATCTCACTCTATTTATATATGTCTATAACTTTATCTATGTCTTTTTCTTCTTCCTATTTAACAGCATTAAAATACTCTATCGCCTTTCTATGCAAGTCTCATTTGATAAAAGCTACTGAGACTCCATTCCTACTAATGTGATCCAGAGTTCTCGTTGCGCAATTACTTTTGGGCACTTTAATGCTTAAAACTTACGAAATGTTCCTCTCAGCTAAAATACGCGGAAAATTATCTTTGATTTGGTTGCTTATTCAGCTGAATGTTAAGTGCCCCGGGGCATGGCAAAGCAATTTAACTCTCAACTAAGTGAAATAATTGGCCAATGAAAATCTTATTAAATGAATAAAGCAACATTAAAATCAGTTTAATAACAACAACTTGCAAGAGGCAAGACTCGCGACTCGCTGCCAGCAGTAAATTTGAATTTTATGCCGTGGACATTATAAAAGCAGCAAATGGAAAAGTTTTTATAACCCTTTGCCGACCCACCCATTCCAATCCATACCCATTCACACACAGCTGCGGGACTACCCCAAATGCTGTGCGTAGTCTATATAAAGTTTCATAGTTTATTGACAAACGTATTTATTTTTATACTTATTTTTTTTTTACTTTCTTCTTCGCTTGTTTGCTGTCTCTTTGCAGCGTTTTAAGGACAACGACATCGAAGTGAAGCGCAAGGATGGCATTATATTGCTGCGTGAATTAGCGGCCGAGGTGAAGAACTTTATGGATTTCAAGCGGAACGCTGTAATGGTAAGTGGTATAAAGAAATATCTACCTACTCCATGCGCCTCCCGCCCTCTCAGCGCCGCAGCCCCTGTGGCCACGCCTACTTAGCTGTAAGTGCCCACAATTGACAAGTGGCTCAATAGCTCAAAGCGCACGCGACAAATGGCAAGGAGCTCGGAAATTTAAGAGCCACACACAAACATATATATATATATATATATATATATATATATATATATATAGGTATATACAGACAGAGAAAACAACAACAAGACTCCGCTTCGCAGTGGGACACTGGCGTAAAGTGGAAAACAATAAATTGCCGTGGGCCAAAAACAGCCCCAAAAGCAACAGCAAGAAAACAATAAAAGTAATAAAAACAAGTAAAAGTGCTTATTAAATGCATTTTGTTGAACGACTGTTAGATACTCAGTTTTTAGAGTTTGATACATAAACATACCAAGAATTCGACAATTTCGTCTATACTACCCTTTGTGACAGTCTAATTATGATCTGACGAATTAATAATGACAGATTTGTAGATACCCTGCTTTATATTTGATACCCAGTATCTAATTGTGCTCTATTGAAAGCATTGATATTCTGATTTACTTTTTTTAAATTTTTATTAAAAAATCGATATTTCTTATATCAATATTTTCGTTTTGATATTTGTACTTATCAGGTATCTCTAGAGCTGTGTCGAGTAAAGAAAAACGTTGATTCGCTAAAAGCTCAATTTGATGATTTTTATACTATATGCATTGTAAAATTCAAAGCATATTTGAAAATATAGCTCACGTGGCAATAACATGTAATGTTTTGGGTGAGATGACGAGATGATAAAATGAGTTATTTGGGAGTTCCTGCTCATTATTTGCGTAATGATAGTCTTATGACGTGTTGCATAGGTACCGTTTCTCTAAATGAAAAATAAGTACACAATACCTGGCAACACCGATGCTTATGCTTCGAGTACGATGTTTTTCTTTTGATACATCCACTAACCATATGGTTAGTGATACATTTTATGGGTACACGATCGATACTTTGCATTCGATATCGTGTTGCTACGAATATGACATCTCTTTCATTCGTAAGATCGATTCACGATTGTTAGATACAGTGCTTTTAAATATTTTATTTAATGTGCAAGGTTAGCTTCGATACAGATAACTCTCATGTTTGAGTTATTATTCCTATAATGCCGTTTGATTCAAATGATCGACTACGGCATACCGTGTATCATATATGTAAAACCGTTTTTCCGTCTTAAATAGCGTTCATGCTTAGCAAGTTCTGTTCAATGTAAATAACTAGCTACACCTGCTGAATACCCTGCTTCTGACTTATAAAGCTAGCTTCCAACATACTTGCTTCATCCATCCACATCATCAGCAGATGATGATGATGAAGAAGCATCTTAGACATAGAGTCCCAGATCCATGTGGCATTAAAAATATAAAAAATTCCTTCATATTGGATATTTTGTACTATAGGTAAATCAATTGATACTATGAGATATAAGAATGTTTTTTAGGCGTCTGCAAGTGCATATACCCTTTATGCTTTGAGTACAGGGTATTGGCGACATCTCAGGCACTGAGCAGTTGTCGACTGTGGTGGCACAAGGAACGACAAATTGAAATTAAAGTGCGCCAGCCACAAGGACAAGTTTTGATGGCGCCCGCAGCTGTTGCGGCTGCTGTCACTGTAACTGTAACTGTTACTGCCACAGTAACTGCTCCTGCCACGCCTATTACTGCCCAGTTGAAGCGTTGACCAGCTGGCGTCGGGTTTGGCCAACTGGGTGCGCTCGTGTCTCCGGCGGGATGAACCTCTGCGGCATTTGTGGTCTTTGCCGTGCTCTTTGTGGCCTGCCTCCGTCCAGCGTATCAATAGACTTCGTTTACTGTCCGGATAATTTGCTGTAGGCGTCGCGACTACACATTGGTGAAAATGGTGCGGAAAAAGTTGAGAAAATCACTTAAATTGTATTTGAAACTTTTTGCAAATTATTTATTGTTAAATAGGATTTTAGTCAATCAAATCATCTGACAGTCCGATGTTCCTTGAATCAGGCATTGACTGACAAAAGTTACTCAGGACGTCACTCGAAAAGTCAAGTAATCCAATAATTCATCAGCCAGTCAGCTAGTGGAATTCATCAGTTTTCTTACCTTCAAACCATTTTACATATTAAATCAAACGCAATTATTTCTTTTCAATAGCCTTTAAATAACGTTGCAGTCTGATGAAATCGATTGCGCGATATTTGGCTCCCACGCTGTGCTTGCAGCTTGAACCTATCGACAATGACAAAATGGCTATAGCTGGCACACGCATAGAATCATCGATACTGTAGGCTATCATGTAAACTTGTTTTCATTTCTATTTGTTACGCCTTTGCTTTTCTTTTTGTATTGATTGGAAATGGATCTGGACAGAGTCTTGCTTAGAAATGGGCTATTTTATGGTTAGTTAATTTTAACCTCATCTCTCTCTCGTTCTGTCTGCCTCTATTTGTCTCTCCTCTCTCTCTCTCTGTCTGTCTGCTGTTCAATTGTTTGTCAGTGAAGTGAATTGATTTTCAATTGGCCAAACACTTTCATTTTCATTTAACAAACAGCATCTCAGACATCATTAATAATGTGCGACAATTCAATTAAATATTGTAATCAAGACAAATTTATATTTTCATATGCATACATGTGTATGTATGCATTTATATGTATTACTAAAAAGTAGATAGGCAAGCTAAGTAGTAACTGTGCTGTAGCCTTTGAGACACTGTACCATTTATTTATCCACTTCATGTAATTCGAAAAAGTTACACTTCCCTTACTTCATTTAATTTTTTTTTTCATATTTATTATTTAATTTATTTACGATTTCTTTGTTTTCATTTGAGATTGATTGGCAAATGAGTTGCACGGAATTCAATATTTATATATTTCAACAAATAATATTTATTAAAATTAATTTTTTATTAATTTTATCTTTCGAATGCGGCATTCTCATTGATTTTGATAGACCAACGCATTGCTCTCGTGCCGATGCTCAGTTTCTGGTCCTCAGCTGGCCAGTTATCTTCGCTATGGCGTTGCTCTACCCGTTTCGGAATCCTCCTTTCCACTTGCTCTTGTTTTTCTTTATCCACTTCCATACAGTTGCTGCTAACTGCGCAGTTGGCAGAGCTTATGCTTGTACTGATTGGAATATCAGTTCTTTGCAGGGTTCAGGTTAACTCCTAATCGAGCAGTTTAGAGCACTCTTATATTTATTTATTTATGTAATTGTTAATATTCATTAATATATAAGTACAAATAGTGTGCCCCATGTTCCTGGTCCATGCTGCGCTTATGTGAGTGGGTATACATAAATAATTTTTTATGATTTCCGCAAAATATCGATTTAATTTTGTTTTTTTTTTTTTTTTTTTTTTTTTTTTTGCTCGTGTTTTCTCTTATTTTTGTGGGTTTATTTGGCGGACGCTACGGCCGCTGCTTCCGCTCCTTATGGCCAATCCAAACACACGCACTCACACACACACACATGCAAACTTATATGTATATGTGTGTATGCGTGGGTATGTGTATTTGTGTATGGGCAGCACAGCTGCCGTTCTTGCTCTGTTGTCCTGCAGCCCGGAAGTTTTTGGCCCAGACGCAAAACGCATACGAAGCACCATTAATTAAAAATCAACCCACACGAACAACAACAACAAGCATTTACATCAAAAACAGCCAAAAGCCAAACAACAGGCACAAATAAACTAATTTCAATAGCATTTATGCGACTACATAGATACCCTGTAGACGTTATATATATATATATATATATATGTCGAAGGTGAAGGAAAGAGTGGCAAATAAAACCTGACTTATACATACTTGAACTCTATGGATTGAATATGTAGTCGTATTGACAATCCAGGTGGTAAATCTTTTATGTAATATATCTTTTATATAATTTATTTCACTTATTACTTAAATACATTCGCATTAATGCATTTCCAGTTTCGGTAGATCTTTTTGCATCTCGAGAAAATTCTTACGAAACTCGTTTGAGGAAACCCCAAAAATCACAAACCGGAAATCTGTAGCGACATTTTTGCTGCTGCTTCTATTGTTGTTTAAAAAAAAACAAATATATGATTGACCACACAAATACACACGCACACTGACACACACACACATGCACATAGTCAGTCTGCCTGACTGCCTGATTAGCATTTCCAGTAGAAACGTTCGTAACTTTTGCTGTTCTGTCTAAATCATTAGTCGATGCCGGAAAATATGTTAGTTTTAGTTTTTTTTGTCAAAAAAATATATAATATATAATTAAATTATTTAATCATAGATTTTGGCTCATGTTAATTTACATTGTACAGCACATGATTAGCTATTTTATTGCTCCCTTGGAAATATTCAAATTACATTACTCTATTTGAAGTTAACTCAATTAGATTTTGAATTTTTGTGCAACTGAACGGAAAGGCTGAGAAAAACACAATGTCGATATTCATTTTGTCGATATTCACTATGTTGGTATTCATTCTGGTGATATTCACTATATCGTTATTCACTATGTTGATATTCAGATAGCCTGTAGGATTTCACTCAGTCGTTATTCACTTTTTCGACATCCACTTTGATAGCTCTAAGTCGTACTATGTCGACATTCAGTAAACTAATGTGCTAGAAAACGTTGAGATCGCACTTGTTAGGAACGTTTCAATCGCTAAGATTGATATTAGCTGAGGCTGTATTGCTCACTTTGCAATTCACAGCATTCATTTACTGATTTTACTTAAGTCGACTGACTCAATGAAATTCTGCGCTGTTGTGCAACTGATGGGAAAAACAAAATACTATGTAAGAATGCACTTTGTCGACATTCAGACATTCTATTATATTTCGTTGTCTATACTCAGTACGCTGATACACGCTACATCGAAGTTCAGATGGGTTGTGAAATTTATAAAAAGTCGCAAATAAACATCATTTTATTGCAACCACTTGATATTCACTATAAAATATGGGCAAAAATACCATTTTGTTGTAAGTTGGTTCTGTTTACTTTATGTTCTTTACTTTATATAAATATCTTCGTAGAATATACATAAATGCTATATTCGGAATCTACTTCTAGCAACAAACTACTTAATTATTTATTTGAAAATGTCAAATATTTGTTGAATAGTTCAAATGTTATCGATAATCTAAAAAGCTGCTGATATTAAAATATCAAATATAGAATTAATTACTCTTTAGTATTTTAATACATACATATATAGTAATAGAAATAAATTAGGGTTTACATTTTTTTTTTACATTTAATTATTTAGTTTTTGTCACCATTGATTGTAATTTTGCAGACTATTCTGTAAAATAAATAATTGAGCAACTGCTAGTCGTGTTTTACGAACTCGCTCAAATCTTGTGATTTAATGCTTGAGTATAAAAACAATATATAGAGAGATAAATGTATTAAAACTCTATGAGGAAGTGTAACAGTTGTTCACAATTACAATAAACCGGTTTGGCAAATATGCAATTCCATATACATATGACAGCTCCGTGCAGATAATGTGAATTCGATTATTGTATATACACATATGTATATGTATATATTCATGCATATTTATTAATAGAATCTCGGCTGGTATGTTAATCTGTCTGCTTATAATACGAAACTTGATTCTGGGATTCTCCCTGCAGCGATTAGGCCTGAGGTCAGCTTAACACATTTCTTTATATTAAATTGCGAGCCATCGCTTTAGTCATTTAGTACTTACTAAACATTAAGACAATATACAACATGCTCCTACGCTCGTTGACGCTCGTTTTCTATGTCCTGGTGCTGGTTGTCCTGTGCCTGACGGTGGTGTACAGCAAGCCCGCCTGCAATGAGGGCTTCTATACCAAGAATGGAAATCTGATCTTGGATCTTCACAATTTCCAATCGCAATTCGATTGCGTGCAGCGGATGCATAGAGGCTAAGAACAGCAAAATGTATAAATATATATGAATAACAGTATATATATACATATCGAATCATTTGTGAAAAAAAAAACAACAAAAATTAATAAATGTGAGAGATTTATTTAAAAAAAGTGAGTTATTAAATGTGTAAACAAATAATAATAATTATATTTGTTGACTGTTCACAGTAATCAGCATCTCTTGAGAAGTGCTTCTTTATGGCTTTAGCGACTTTCAAACCGTGCACTGACACAAATATTACTTTATACAATTGTTGTGGCTACTGTTGGATGTATTAATATCGATATATGAGGGGATATCGAAAGATCTTCGTTTTATTTTCACTGGCAGGAAGTTATTTAACCATAAATAGCAGGGTATCTCAAAGTGTGGCACTCCCATTTATTTATTTCATTATCTTTTTTATGCGCATTTGAAGGTTAAAAGAAAGTAATGCATTGTGGCTGCTGCTGTCATTAGCTCTGATATTATTCGTTTGCATTGTATGCAATTTGTTGGCCATCTGCTGCATCTGCATGCATTAAACATATGTATTTAAATGTATATGTATATGGATAAACCTAATACCTAGAACACTCAATATGAATGTGCGTCTAATCTGTGAGACCAATCAAATAATTAGTGCTGACCAATCCATCTATTTATGCATGTTATACACACATATAAATATATAACTGCATATATATGTCCATACAACACGTTATAAATCTATTTGTCAACACACGTCACACAAACCAATGGACAAACAGACAGAGAGACAGAGACGGACAAGTCGAGGCAAACATTTAACTGACCCATAAACAGGGCATTGTCAACGGCGCGTATACGTGATATTATTTAAACACAGCACGCGGCACCCGCACAATCGACCATTGAAAGGACGATGATGACGACGACGACGTCGTATGGCAAATAGTGACAGAAAAAAACAACATGCATACATACACACACACACAAACACACACATGCACACATATATCTGTCCATATTTGCTGCGAAAGCGCAACCAGGATGTCAGAGCCAACAGGTAACAACAATCAAACGAAGTTTGCAAAAAAAGGAACACAGTAAGAAGGCTGACAATCAAAATTGAAAATAATAAAAAGAAAAACAAATAAATAGATCAAAAAGAAAGTGAAATAAAAATGGTAAAATAAATGGTATATAGTGTATAATATATATAGTGTATATTTATAAAAATGTATTTATCTTTGGTCTATTTATTGATTTCGCGTTTATAGAGTACTTATAACAAATCGAGCCACCCATACAACCCATGCTCAAATATGTGTTTGTTATATAGAATGTTACTCAGAGTTAAGGGTCTCTCTGAGTCGTGCACTCCCGACTACAATATCCTCAATTCTTTCTGTTGCTTGTAGTCCCGTTTGCAGTCGTCACTTTAAACACTTTTCACACAAACAATTTGCACTCGTGTCGAACATGAGAAATAATGAAAAACGAAACGATTCGTGCGTGGCGCTGCCCTCAAATGCCACACACATCCACACGCGTTCCATCATCATCATCGTCATCAGTAGCTGCAGCAGCACATCAGCAGCATTGCCATTATAAACATGATCATCATCATCATCGTCAGCATTATCATTATCATTATTATCATCATTGTAGTCGTGCGCTTCGGCACCTGCAGTTGGCCTTTGTCTCTGTTGGCGGCATTAAAATGCTAATTGCCTGTAAACATAAAGGTAACTGCACATACATCCTCACACTCAGTTGCTCACTCACACACACATACAGCTCTACACACTTGCAGTTGCAGTTGCAGTGCTTTTGCTGTTCAGTTCTTTGCTCCTCAGTGCTGCCACACGCAGCGTATGCGTAATTTTTGATATGATGGCAAACGTGGTGAATGCTGCTAATTCAATTTCTCGGCGCGCTGTCAATATGCCCGTTATAGTTTAGCAACAGAGTGTTAGAGAGAGAGAGAGAGAGAGAGGGAAAGAAAAGTGGAGAGCAACCGCAGTTACCCTCCCTTTCCCCTCACCTACACACGCTAATAGTTGCTGAGTGAATGAGTGTCGGAGCGAGAGGGAGAGAGCTTGCTGTCGCTGACAGACTTTATTTGCGTTAAGTTCGAAGTTTAAATTGACTTTAAAATTGCATTTAATGGCCAATGCTTTTACAGTTTTTTCCCATCATGCTCTATTCTGAATTGGAGCAAAGAAATGTGACATGAACTCAGAAAATATAAATATGTGAATAACTGGTTGTCACCTCAAGTGGATTTAATTGATTCAATATTTTTATTTATCTCGCGTATTTTATTAATTTTTTGTTTGTTTTGTTTTATATATTCCTCTTGAAGTCAATTTATTTTTTATGTTTTCCTTTGCAGGGTATTTCACAATCTTTAGTTTAATAATGTTATCTTTTGTCATTCCTTTTCTGTTAAATGAGACGCCCTCTGTGGGCAGAACTCTCACTCAAACTCAAACTCTCAGCCGCTTGTTGGCTGTCATTCTCTGACTCTGCTTCTCACAGCTTTCTGTTGCGTCTCGCTGCTGCTACTCTGCTGCTTGGCTGCTCGTCATCATGCTTGTTGTTGTTGGTGTTGCTATCGTTGTTGCTGTTGTTGTTGTTGACTCCTTTGCTATAATGCCACTTGCACTTTGACGTTGACATTGTGGGAGGTTTGAGTGCGGACCAAAAAGGATTGAATATGTGCGTGTATGTGACTCTCTCGCTAGCTCGCTCTTTTTGGGCTTCTCTATTGAGCTTGTATTGAAAAGCTCTTCTAGCTCGTCGCCTGCATTTCTTAAATAGAAACATGTAGAAAAAAGAAATGTCTTCACACTAAAAGCATTCGCTCGTCCGTCTCCTTCACTCTCATCTGATAAGTTGACATTTGTCGCGCTGCAATTTTGATATGTTTGTTGTTGATTTAAAGTATGCACGTATATATTAATGTATATGCATGTACATGTGGGTGTGGACGTGGGCGTGGTTATGCTTGGACGTTTAAGTATCCATCATGGTCCACTTGCTAGGCAAGCAGCCAGAAAATGTTGACACATTCAAGTTTAATTGGTTTATTTTGTGTTTATTATATATAAATTTAACGATATTGCATTTGTCTATATAGGTATATATAAGGTAACTTTGCAATGTAAGCTAAGCTCATATAGGAATGTAATGCAATGCTAGTTAATTTGAATGTTAGGTGTAGAGCAATAAGTAAAGAGTGAAATAGTGAGCGCAGTATGACATTAAACTTATCAAACTTAACAGATCAATAGAGAACAGAATGAAATAATAAATACAGTGAAGTAATTTAACAGCGTAATGTAAACTTTACATTTTATGTTAATCCCATTTATCAGCATATGATAAACAGATTGCAATGCTCTTAAAATTCCTGCCAGATTGAAAAAAGAAGATTATAAATGAGCTGAAAATAAGACATAAAAGGTGAACTTTGCAATTCACCTTGGTCAAAATGAAAGCAGTGTGAAACTTATTTTCATTGCATAAGCTGGAAAAACCACAGCGCAAGTTGTCCAGACTTAAAGCAAACACACAAAAAATAAAAAGACAAAAATGGGTGAAAAAGTAGAGAACTAGATAAGCAACCACGTTGCTGGCAATGCATAAAAGCAGTCGCCACAGCCAAATGCGTTAATAATCCTTAAAGTAAACCACATCAACTGTGAATGTGAAAGATAGAGAGTGGAAGAGAGGTTGAGAGACGAGAGCGGCAGAGGGACGTGTGGACGAGTCTGTAATAGTCGTTACACCAGGCAAACAGTCAGCCAGCGGGGGTGTCTTGCGACAGGTGGGCTGCCAGGTGTAGAGTTGCTATTCGCTTGCCTGTCGTTCTTGCCATTCTGTCTGATTCTCTGCTTAACAACTGCAGTCAAAAGAGTCACAAGTCGCAGTGCACATTCTCCTTATTGCCCACCTCCCATTTACAGCCGAGTCCAATAAGTTGGCATAAGCTCTGCCAAAGACGCAAATATTTAACAAATCTTTGACTAAAGGAAAAAAAAAAACAAATAAAATATGGAAGCTAATATAAATTTCTTGAACAAGTTATTGCCTCAGCATTTGGCACATGCACTCAAACGGAAAATATATTGCTAAGAAACGAAGGGAATGTACATATATGTATGTCCACTTATGTTTGAGTGGATGTATGTATGTACGTATATAAAGAAAACATTTACAAATTTAAGTGAACTATAAAAATTGGACCTAAGGGTGAATTGCCACATATCTTATACAAGTAGTTTGTTATTCAGGAAAGTAATTAAAGCAACGTTTGAACTAAAATTAAGATAATTCTATATGAAAACTTAACTGAAAATATATTTAATAATTTAATTATAATTTTAATTAATTTTTAATTATTTTCAGAATTAGAGTTTATAGTTAGAAATATTTTATGTATATTTCTAAAAAAAATTTTATGTAAATTAAAATATAAAAGCATATATAAATAAATATAAATTACAATATGGTTAAATGATCAGCTGAAACTGCTAAAACAGCGGCTAGAGTATAGGCCAAGTAGAAGTGAAAAAAATATCACTCATACGACACCGACAGCCAGTTGACTTGGCAAATGGTCAATGTGAACTCTCTCTCTCTCTCTCTGTTTGCTGTTTTCATTTGTGTTGCATACTTTCAGGCTGCAGCTGCTGCTACAGCTGGCTGTAGCCAACGCCCAAGTACTTGCCACGCACTTTTCTTTAGCCAACCGGCGCTTTGCCTCTCTTCTTCTCGTCCTCTCTCTCTCTTTGTGCCTCCCTCTCCCTGTCTCTTTTTCATATGTCTTGCGTGCAAGTGGCTGCATTTTGCTTTTTTGCTAATTCCGTCTGCGCTTTGACATTCGAGTCGAGTCGAGTCGAGTCGCCTTTGCTGCTGTCATTGTTGGCTTTTGAATGTTAAGATGTCGACAGCTGCCTTCGGGACCGCTGGACGGGCGAACGCGCGGACAGACAGCAGCTGCAACTGCTGCGCAATAAAAAAAAACTGACTAGTTGAATACCCTGTAAAAACAGTAGCAGTTTAGTTGTAAGACACTGTTAAAATACAATATTTCTAATTTTTTAAAAACATTTTTATTATTTATTTTTATGTATTTTTATTTTTTCTATTATTTACATTCTTTAACAAACTTTTGTTTTATTAAAACCCTTTAAAAACAATTTTTTTTTTAATATTCAAAATGTATTTAAGATTTAACTTCGTAATTATTTTTTCGTATTCATATCAATGAGTACAGGGTATGCCTAGTCAATCCTTTTCTGTACAACAACCTCGACCTTAGCAAAAATATTTCTGTCTCGCGTTATAAGTGCATAAAATTGTAAAAGCAAAAAGACAAATTTGTTAAGCATGTTTTTTTCCTCATCTGACACTATTTTTGTGTTCAGTGCTGCTCAATTTGGTAAGTTGTTGTTATCCTGGACATGTCTGACGAATTATGAATACACATGTTCTGCCACTATTCGACAGATTCTTGTTATGTTGCGAAAAAAGTTGGCTGGAAAAGTTCCCAATTTTATTATAAATATTATTAGCTTGGGAAAGTCGCATTTTTCAGTAGTCGGTGAAATGGTTATGAATGAAGCACAGATAATATAAAACGAAACAGTTCCGATGGAGGAATGATGTAGACGGATATAAAAATCTCAATAAAACGTTTACGATAAAATTCACAATCAGAATTAAATAATATAAATGCGTTACTTTGAAGAGCCGTTCTGTCTTTTCTGTTTGTCTTTTAGCTCCCTCTCCGTCACTCTATTTCTCTTTTACACTCACTGCCTCAGTTATGCTCAAAGCACTATTCAATGCTTCAGAGATTCCACATAAACTTTTTCTTCGTCCACTTTTCAGCTCTTTTTATTGAAGTTGAAACTTTTTAAAAGACTTATCAAATTGATTTTTTTTTTTTAAATTTTATTTTTGCCTTTTGACTCTTTCCACTCTCAATTTTCCACTTGAAACTCAATTTTGAATTCCATTGAGTTTATTTTTTAATGACTCAACTAGCTGATAGTCAACACCTTTGCCAAACTTGAAGACTTCAAATAAATTTACGCCTAAACTGCGACAAAGTTTATGCAATGAAAGTTGTGCCTTCCTTTCCTTTTATATCAAGAAAAAGAGAATGTTGGATGCAACAGTAACAGCGTAATGCACCCATTTTAATTGTTTACTTTGTAACTTCTCTTACAAAAGAGTGGATCGCAAAGGGGAGGCTAATATTTGCATGTGCTCAAAAGTGCTGAAATTAAATAACTCTGTTAGTTAACAGAGTGTGTTACACAAACAGAATCCACAAAATATATGGAGAGCAGCTTGAATCCAAACAGGCCTGAGCTGAGAGAGTGTAAGCTATCGAGAGCGTATATCGAAAGCGGGCATTGGTCTAATGATAGAGGCCATTTTGTGTTAGTGAGCGACTGATCCAAGTTTTAATATATTTATATATATATTTGCTGCCTGACTTCACGTACATTAAAATCTATAAAGTATTTGTTAAAAAGTAAGTTAATTTTTTAATAAATAATTTTTACAGGTCATATAATGTATGTGTGTACGTATGCATGCATTGATTGCATACTATAGAAAATTGCTAAATACCGTTCAGCAGATGTGTATATGAGTATTCATGTGCGCACTTATATAAATACATACTTATGTATGCTTGTATGTATTTACGCGCTACTTTGTGCCATTTGAGCGCGTAATGACTCAACGCTAAGTTCCACTGTCTTTTTTGCCAGCTTTTGGCCTTGTTGTTCTTATCTGCTTTGATTCTCTTTACTTCTTTTCGAGATTGCTTTTACTGAAGCGCTCGATGTGGAAAGTGTGGTTAAGGCGATTAATGGCAATTGCTTTGCTAAGCATATGAGTGCAAATAAGGGAAATATTTGAAGGAATCGAAATGAGAGCACCTTTGACCATTAAAGGAACATAGGTATAATATTTAAATATTAAATTCATTTGATATTGATATATTTTTCATCCATATTATCCATTAAACAAGTAAGAAGGCTCTAGTCGAGACTGCTCGACTAGGAGATACCCTGAACCCTCTAAGCTGATATTCTAATCATTCTGCATTTTTATGCACACATACATGCACATGCATCCACACGCACGCATAAGCCTGCGCTCTGCTAACTGCGCAGTAAGCAGCGGCTGCGCTTGGGCTGCGCTGCAGTGTGGGCAATATTATTAGAATTTATTTGTTGAATAATTTCTTTTGTATACATAAGATCTTAATGAAATTTTGAGAGTGTAATCATATGATGAATATGTGTGTACATTCCAAAGCACAAGTCTCTAGTACTTGAAATGCGTTTTTTACAAATTGGGGGGAAAGGGGGCGTGGTATCCAAAATCTGTAAATTACAAAATCTTTGTATCGATTAACTTTATATACAACGCAAATTTGAAGACTCCAGGTCTAAAAATGTTCAAATTAGGCTGAAAAAACAATGCCGATTTTTCGATTATTCTCGATAAAAAAGTTATCGGATGAATTATCGAAAAAATAAAGCAAACTCGTACTGCGTATGGTACACACGAGTATGCATGCCAAATTTCAGCTCTCTAGCTCTTATAACTTCTGAGATCGACGCACTCATACGGACGGACGGACGGACGGACGGACGGACGGACGGACGGACAGACGGACAGGGCTATATCAACTCAGCTCGTCGCGCTGATCAAGAATATATATACTTTATGGGGTCTGCCACGCCTCCTTCTGCCCGTTACATACTTTTTCACAAAACCATTATACCCTGATTTCCCATTTTCAATGGGTTCAGGGTATAAAAACGTGAAATTACTTACGTGAAATTAGTATCATTTTGAAATTCCCGTTTTAAGATTAGTTTAACTAGGTATGTTTTTCGCAGTGTAGCTCAAAGTCTAAAAAGAGGAATATTTGAACTATTTAAATGCACCCACATACTGCACAGAAGCTCCTTGCTGCTTAGAGTCCTTGGCAGCTGGAGCATCTTCCATCTTCCAGATGCAGCCAGCCAAGTAAAAAGCAGTCGGCGTCTTTGTTGTTTTTGTTTAGTAGAGAACGAGCTGCCCTCCTCCTACTACAAACATCTGTTTTTAGCCCAATGTCTATGACTGCAGGTGTTTGTTAGCCTGCATTTTGCTTGATCCGCAGCCTACTTTGGCTACTGCTGCTGGTGTTCGTCCTGGCCCTCATCCTTGTCGAGTCTAATTTCACTGCAGCTAAAGTTCTTGTTTGTTTCTTATGAAAATACACACACACACACACACACATACACATACATGCATACATTGAGCTAAGTTAAACTTGTGAAAATAATTTGTGCACCAAGTTGCAAAAGCTGCTTCGACTTCAGACAACGCACAGTGGTTGACAACTGCTTAAAAAAGCAATGGAAAAAGCTTAAGCAAAAGGCCATACAACTAGTTAATTATTAGTTGAAAAGAGCACAGAGATAGTCAGCGAGAGAAACAGAGAGAAATAGATGGACAATTAACCAAAAAGTTTCTGCAGCTTGAATAGAGAATATATTTTCTGATTTTCAAAATAAATAAAATTTATAAAATCATTACTGTTAAGTGATCAAGCCATATAATATTATTATAAATAATTGAAACGGATTTTACACTGTGCACTAGAGAATTATTCAGACGAATATCCCAAGAACTTTCAATTGCTTACACTGCACACAGAATCAAGCACACATACACTCACACACGTGTATATATGTGTATAAATATGGAGAGCACAAAGTTGTGTAAGTAGAGTTTTCAATGAGAGACAAGCTGCAAGTGAAAGAGAGAACGAGAGAGAGTGAGAGGGAAGAAAAGTAAACTCTGCTCATCGAACTGCGAGCGCTTTGTGCAATTTAAGGCGCCCTCTAGGGAATAAATTGCACAAAGTAAAGCTGAAAAACTTTCGTTGGGCCAAGTTAAACAGATTGATGAACGTGTGGAAAAGTATAGATTGAGAGAGAGAGAGAGAGAGAGAGAGAGTGAGGAGCAGAGATAGACAGTGAAATTAACGGCCATCTATTTTACTTGCAGCGCTTGATGGACTCGGCTGAGCAGGCGGCGCTCTCCGAATTGGATGGTCAGAGCAGCTCTGAGTCTGGGCAATTGGGTCAGCAGCATTACGATGCAAGGCGCATCAATGAGTATAATGCCGATGGCAAATTGGCGGACGGAGCGCGTCACATGGACATACGATTCATGCGTCGCTTCGAGCGTCTGCCGGTAAATCTCAGTCTAAGCTCGATTCTGGTGCCGCACGGCGTCGATTTGGATGAGACGGATGTGAAGTCGGCATTGCAGTGGAGCGCCCATTTGGATCCACTCTTCCAGAATAACTTGGAGCGAGATCCGGCATTGTCCTGGCAATACTTTGGCTCATCTTCGGGCTTCCTGCGACGCTTCCCAGGCACTGCCTGGCCACCGGAGGGCTCCAAGGGCAGCAAGCTAATCCATGATTTTCGCACACACAACTGGTTCGTGCAGGCCGCATCCTCGCCCAAGGATATTGTAAGTGATTTGCCTCAAACACAACATTATTCCATGATTAATATTTCATTTCTGCTCAGATGATTCTGCTGGATGCCTCGTCAAGCATGTCGGAGAAATCGTTTGATCTGGCCACGGCTACGGCTTTTAATATACTGGATACACTCGGCGAGGATGACTACGTGAACTTGATAACCTTCTCGGAGGTGGTCAAGACACCTGTGCCCTGCTTCAAGGATCGCATGGTGCGCGCCACGCCCGATAATATTCAGGAAATAAAGTCGGCCGTTAAAGCTGTAAAGTTGCAGGATACGGCGAACTTTACGGCGGGCCTGGAATATGCCTTCAGTCTGCTGCATAAGGTAAGGAGAGTAGGAATGGAGTGGCGAGTGATCTAATGGAAGAGATAGAAGAAAAGTAGATAACGATGTCCAGATCAACTTTTTTAAACTGAATAGATATAGTTAGATTCAGGACATCGATTCTCTAGTTATATATATACATACATGTATATAAATGAGAGATCAATCATAGGATATTTTCTAATCAGACATATCATCTAGTGACATAACTAATCCTTCTCGTATTCACAGTATAATCAATCTGGAGCGGGCAGCCAATGCAATCAGGCCATCATGCTGATTACGGAGAGCACTTCGGAATCGCACAAGGAGATCATCAAGCAGTACAATTGGCCGCATATGCCCGTCAGGATATTTACATATCTGATTGGCAGTGATTCGGGCAGTCGCAGTAATTTGCATGAGATGGCGTGCTCCAACAAGGGATTCTTTGTGCAAATCAATGACTACGAGGAGGCGCGACGAAAGGTGATTGACTATGCGCTGGTGATGGCGCGACCCATGATTATGTACCAGGCGGATCATCCGGTGCACTGGAGTCCTGTCTTTGTGGCTGGGAAATCTGGTGGACTGGGCAGAGATTCTGAGTATCAGCGACGGTTAGTGACGACAGTTTCAACTCCGGTCTTCGATAGACGAAACCATTCGGTGCGCGTGGCAAATCTGTTGGGTGTGGTGGGCACCGATGTGCCCATTGAGGAGATACGAAAGATGATACCACAGCACAAGCTGGGACCGAATGGATATTCGTTTATCGTCGATAACAATGGGCGTGTGCTGTACCATCCCGATCTGCGACCCCTGAGCGATGGTAATCAGTACATCGATCAGCTGCGACCCAAATACGCGTCCGTCGACATTACGGAGTTGGAACTGCCGGAAACGGAAATTGGCAACGATCACGAATTGGTCGAAATTAACAAAAATCTGCTCAATGAGGTAATTTATATAATAAAGACTTAGTGTAATCACCGAATTAATTTCATTGCTTTGCAGATGCGCGGTGACATGATTCGCCCCAAGGAGGGTGAAACAGAGTTCACAGTGCTCAATCATTACGATGAGTCGAAGCGCGTCTCCACGCGCACCCATCGCTATTTCTACGGACCCATCGAGGATACGCCCTTTACGCTAGCTATTGTATTGCCCGAAAAGTATGGCAGCCATGAGTTGGTCTCCCAACAGGAGATTAGGCACTCGCGTAACAATGGTATGCATAAATCCAACCACAGCTATTAGTTCTCGTTGATTAACTTATCTCTTCTTCTCCCTTTTAGTTACCGAATACTTTAAGGGCGACAATTGGCGCGTACATCCCGATTGGGTCTACTGCGAATACAATAGTGTCAGCGACTTGGAGAAGGAGCGTGAGAGCTCCGGAGAGTATACGTCGCGCGATCAAGAGCCCAGCTTCGGGTCGCCAGAGGAGCAGGTACTGCACTTTCTGGCACGCGCCGGACGCCCTGGTTGGAAGTGGATGTCGGTAAGCTATCCCAGCTTGATGCGACTATATACTGTTTGTATTCTTATATTTATATCTAATCTTCGCTCTTGTTTAGGTGCGACCCAAATCGCCGCAGCCACATCATAACCTGCACGGCACCTCGCCCAGTGCTGCCCACTTTGGTGCGCAGCATCTGAATGTGCAAGGTTCTCGCAAGGCGGAGCCCTACTACTGCGATCGAACCCTCATTCAGAGCTTGGTGCGCGATGCAATGGTCACCGATGGTCTAGATAGGAATACGACGAGCACTTCCAATGGCAAGGAGGATAAACAGTGAGTTCTGCTTATATTTGTCTATGATTTTATTTTCGTTATTATTACTTTTTTTTTTTATCAAAGCACCTTTAAGAAAAATTATATTATTCATTATTTCACTGTTTAATTAAATTCACTTAATTTTTTATGTAAATAATTAATTACTAAAAAAAAATTTTTATTGTTTGGATTTTTATTATTTTAAAAACTTATTATTACTTATTATTTTTTCAACAAATTTGTGTTTGCTTTTGTATACTTTTTTCCGTGATGAGTTAATAGTTTATCATTGAAAAAATATATAATAAGTATTATAAATATTATAAATATATTATTTTTAAAATTCGAATTTTTAATTCAGAACTTATTTTTTATTATTATATATGTTTATAAGTATTTTGTTTAATTATAATTAGCCTAATTATAATTATTTTCGTTGGACTAAAACTTAAATTAGGGTTGCATTATATTTTTGAATACTTTACATTTTGTAGAGATTCTTTAAAAACTTATTTTCAAACACTAAAGCACAACAAAAATTTTCTCTTGCATATATTTCCCCCACTCTATTCTCTGAAATGCAAATATTTTCGATTGCATCTACCAAAACTTTTCTCTCTATAATCAAATATAATTAAAAATATATATATATTCTTTCCGCAATGCATCAATAATTTTATAACTTTAATTTACAATGCAATTTATAACATAATTTTAATGCACAATTTATGCAAAAAAAAAAAAAAAAAAAAATAAACTTTTAGTCCAATCGCCACATTGATGGCAATTTTGAAGAGGTAAATGAAAAGTGTTTAATCAAATCAAGTCACGTAGTTATTGAGAAATGCAAACGCTTTGAGGAACCAGCACAAGGAAAACGCTCGGAGCCTTAATCCCTGTTGAAATGATGTATAGCTCTGCAGTCGCTAGTTGTAGCCGATCGAACTATACATATTTGTTTTCTAATATATGTTTGGTTATCTATTTGCATGCAGGCAAGGCTATCAGAAGTTCGTGGTGGCAACATCCTTTGTGGCGACACGATCGGGCCTCTTGCGCTGGATCGATCATATCAAGAGACCCGAGGATACGCCAGAGCCGTAAGTAGACCATAGTAATCAAACATTGTAAAGTAGCTCATCTCTGTTTCCTGTTCACAGTCACTTCAGCGAGGACAATGTGCGCGCCATGGACGCGTCGTGGTATAAGCGAGCCGTCGATCAACACACTGTGGAGCCGGACAGCTTTGTCTACAGCGTGCCCTTTGGTTCGGGCTATGCTATCAAATCGAATGCGACTCTGGTCACCGCCTCGCACGCCATATTCGTGGAGCATCGCGGACACAAGGCACCCGCCGGGGTTGTGGGTCTTCAGTTTCAGCACGATTCGCTGGCCAAGCACTTCATCAATATAACCTCAGCTGTAAGGCAACTTGTGTAACTCTATCAAATGGATGTATATTATTAATATTCTCAATCTACATTCGCAGTGCACTGGCATGACGGGCTGTAAGCGTACCTGTGCCTCGGACAATCTCGATTGTTATGTGCTCGACAATAGTGGGTTTGTGATCATCTCTGAGGAAATGGAGCATACGGGCAAGTTCTTTGGCCAAATCGATGGCACCATTATGGATTCCCTCGTACAGGATCGCATATACAAGCGCGTTACAGTCAATGATTATCAAGGCGTTTGCTCCGATTCGGATAATCCCTATACGGCAGCTGGTGGCAATGTGCAGCCCCATCGATTTGGCAGCTGGATTATGAAGCACTTGGTGGCATTGAGCGCTTCTTGGCTAGCCTTGATGCCGGCCTCGTTGCGCGCCTGGCCACAGGACGATTATGAGACATACGACAATGAGGACGTAGTCTTTGTGGAAAACAACTATTCGGACGAGTATGAAGAGAATTTCGACAATGAATACACCATGCCGGTGGATCAAGAAATGGATGAATTCTTTACCACAGCTGATGTGGTGAGTACTTCAAGTTTAGCTAGCCTGATATGTATATACTAATACTGAGCCATTCTGTATCTTAGGAATATACGACACCGCCACCCAAGCAACATAGGCCACATAGCGGACACAGATTCGCGCCCGATCCGCAAAATGCGCGCCGCTGCGATTTGCGCACCGATCTTTATATGTTACAACCGGAACGCTTGAATCAAGGCGGCCAAAATAATCCACTCAAGGTGAGTTTATGGATTGGATGAAGTTGTATAATGTAGCTGATATTGATAGCACGTGTTTAAGGAATGTGATTCCCTTTAAATGACATTATTTCTAAATCATGACAATTATGTGATAATATTTTATAGTATTTATATATATTAAAATTTCATAGTATATATATATATATATTATGAAGCTGAACTGCCTTAAGCGTTATACAACACTCGTTTTCATTATGTTTAATGTTGAACAGCATATCTAATATCATTAGCTCTTTAGTCGTGGTACTCCAATTTCAGTATGATGCATTATTTGCTATATTCTATTCTTAACTTTTTCAGGGTAAACTTACCAATTGCCATGTTTCGGGCTGTGAACGTCCGTTTAGTGTGCAAAAGATTCCGCATAGTAATCTAATATTGCTCGTCGTGGACACTTTGTGTCCTTGCGGCTCCAAGCAGTTGGACATTGAGCCCATGGAAGAGTCGGGCATTGTGGGTGAGTCAAGTTTTCCGATTTATCTTAATTTGGTGCTGGCTAATGTATTAATAAAATTTATTTATTTATGAATAGGAGCCTGCAGCACGCGTCGCCAGAGTCAGGAGAAGGAGTCGCGTCGTCGTCCCAAGAAGTGCATCAACTATCATCCCGAAGAGATTGAGATACAGCAATGTGGGCGTGGCAGCACTCTCCTGCACATGTCCGCCTCCCTCGTTGCGGCGCACCTGCTGATGGTCAGCGTGACGTTTGTGTTAGCCAATGCGTGATACGTGCACTAAATCTAGCTAACTGAAATGAGGAGTTGGTAAAGAGCAGAAGGAAAGGGATTAAAACGAAGCACAAGCAGCAGTATGAATATGTTAAGGCTTTTTTTACGAGCAGTGCAAGAAATTTCAAATGGATTCCAAAATGACGTAAAGCGAAGCCAAACAATTAAAAGAAAAACAAAAACAGATGAAAAGAACACGCGTAATACTAAAAAGTTAATATATATATATACCTATATATATCTATATGTTTGTAGACAATAATTTGCAAAGAAAAAAAAAGAGTAAATGAGAGAGCAAACTATATTTCCATTGACAATTAGAGAAAAGTAATTATTAGCTAAATATTAGTTACGCAAAACAAAACACAATTTAAATTAAATATTTGTAGAACAAGAAATTGAAACTTATTTCCTTACTTATTTATTTACCATTTTCCAAAAACTAAAAACAAAATCAAATAACTATTCATTAGCAAAGAAGAAAACGAAATTAATTAAAAATAAAATATCACATAGACGGTTTTATGTAAATAGCAAGTGAAAGAAAGTATTTGAAAGAACAAAATTCCTACCGAAAACATTTAATTCAATAATTCAAAAGTAAACCAAAATGTAAACCAAATTGATGATTTGCACTAACTGCGTACGCACAAATATCGAGTATTATGTATTTTACAAAACAAAAACAACAAAAACCAAAACACAAGGAAAATTATTAAAACATATTCACTGAACAAACAGAAGACTTGAAATACCAAAACAGAAAAAAAAAATGAAAACAAACTGAAAAAAGAAAAAATAAAACGAAAACAACAGAAACCAGTTCATATCGAAGACATATGCATGGCAGCCAATTTTGAACAGCAATACAATAATGATAAAAAAATAAAATAAAATAAAATACATGCATGCATATATGTATATATGTATAATGTATATTAAGTAAATTAATTAATTAACATATATGTATGCGTGTAACAAATGAGTTTTGCAAAAGAAAATGAACTTTATTTTATATACATTTTTATACAAAACATCATTTTGACAAAACACATACATATGTATGTATATATATACATATATGTATCAAATATTATATAAGCAAATGAATCCGCAGAGCCATCGCAAAACCAAAGGAAAAAACAAGAATTCTTTTATATTTTACTTTGAGCTTTCGAGCAGATCCAACTAAATATTCGAAGAGTGCGTAGCATTAACTAATTTAATATAATTTTGTTTTTCTTATTCAAATAAATTAGAAATTCACATATCGTTGTTAATTTGGCAAAGACGTTGAGTTCCATTTACTAAAGCAAATAACAAACAAAAGTAATAACTATTTAAACAACTTTTTCAACACACACACATGTAAACATACATATATATACTCACATGAGCACACACATATACACACTCATACACAACTCTACAATACATATAAAGAGAAAAAATATTTTCTGTGTCTTAAACTTGTATAAAAAATGTCTTCCATTACAAATACTTAAAGCAAAAACAAAAATAAAAAACAACAAAAATATTAAATTTATGACTTAATAACTACTAATTAACTATAAATATATATATTTAATATTTATCGTATAGAACAAAACGAAAAAAATCATTAACCATGCATAAAGAATTTAAATGTTTGGCTCATTTTGCTGCCAGCTAAAAGCTGACATAAAATAGAAAGGAAAAAAAAAAAAAAAAAGAAAACAAGAAATATATTCATAATATAAAACAAAAATCAAGTAAAGTAAATATTTGAACGATTCTTAAACATTTAGTAAATAACTAAACAAATATAGTTAGAGACAAGCTGAGATCGGTTCTAAAGGCAAATGTGCGAACAACATCGAACGAAGTTAAAGCAGCAACCAAATGAAATCACGGCAGAGTTTTGCATTAGACAAAATATTAGCCCAACACATACACACACACACACTCACATTTATATATATAATTGTAATATTAACAAACATATATAAATAAAATACTAAATAGAAATTGTAAGTCGCAAAGGTTAAGAGCTGTTTGTTAAACAAATTTGTTTATATGTTGCAAGAGAGTTGTACAACCGTGCGTATGCGTAATGTGAGAGCAGGTGACAGTGCATGCGTGTATGTGTGAATGTGTGAATGCATATATGCATGTGCATGTGTGTGTGTATATGTGCGTGTGTGTATGAGCATGTGTGATTGTATTGACATTGACTGATGTTTGAAGGAGAGAGTTTTGCAGCGCGTGTTGAGTTATAATTCTTAACTAGTTAATGTACGAGTATACCTGGTAGGCCAAATCGCGCGTATTTAAATATAAAGCATGCATACAATGATTTGTTTTTAACCATAAACAAAAATATATATATACTTCAGATTGCTCTACTCCCTCTCTCTTTCTTCTATCTCTCTCTGTAATTCACTGTAAAACTGCATTTAAATTCTTTCACATAAATGAAACAAAAGGAACTAAATAAATTAATAACAAAAAAAAAAAAAAAAAAAAAAACTAATAAAATACTTATATAGTACCTATATTTATGTATTTGTACTTAACAAAATTCCATATCAACAAAAAAAAAATGAAAAAATTAAAAACTTTTGCAAAATACATAACATTTTCTATGTTTGTTTATTTTTATAAAAGAGAAAACAAAGAAAAGAAATTTAATAATGTTTATATGTGTAGTCCATAATTTTCTAAAGCCATATATTACATATATTCATAATAAACTGATATGAATAATGCAAGAATTACACACATTATTGGTCTAAATGGAATGAATACATATATGTATGCGTATGATAAAGAGGAACTACCATTATTAACTTACGAATTAAATCAAATTTTTGACAATGCGATTTTTGCTTTTTGGAAATCGTGCTTTTTGCTATATAAAAAATAACAAAATACACAAAAAAAAAAAAAAAACCAAAACAAAAAATTTGAAACACAAAATACGGAACGCTATAATTATAATACCATACTTTTGCTCTCTATAAACCCTATATACAAGCAACTTTCTATATGGAAAACCATTTATATCAAATATACTTACATATATCGTACACACATACAAAAACAAAAAACCAAATCAAACCCGATGTTTCAAGCTCTCCTAAAAAGCAAATCAACTTTTTGTTTATTACTTTTCTTTGGTGGCAAATTTTATGTTAAAAAATCGAAACAATAATTGGAATTTCAACTACGCATACATACATAGCATATTAAAGTGGAAAATGAATATAATTAGAAAACTTATTGCAAAATTCTGTATGTAAATTCCGAAAGTTAAATCAGTCAAAAATAATAATAAATATATAACAAGTATAGAAGACGAACAAACATATGAAATGCATTAATTCTGTTATTGTTGTTAAAGCATATGAAAACAACTTTTAATATGTGAGATAAATTGTTGTTTCATTAAATTTGTCACGAATTGAAAACTGAAATCGAAATATTACATGTTTAATGCATAACGTAAAACCATTTAAAGTATATATATATATATATCTAATATATTTATCGCTGAATTATTTTTACATTAAAGATTTCCACATTTGAACGGCTTCAAAAAAAAAAAAATAAAAAAAAAAAAAAAAAAAAAAAAAAAAAAAAAAAAAAAAAAAAAAAAAAAAAAAAAAAAAAAAAAAAAAAAAAAAAAAAAAAAAAGCTTTAAAAGTTGTTGTTGTGGTTGTTGCTGGCTTTTTTGAATAAGTTTTGCGTATATTATCTGTAGCAAAGCAATTGAAAGTAACGGTATTTCACCCAGTACGTCTATCTTGATCCTTATTCTTTGTGTTGGTTATCCAAAAAATTTTAATTACACTTTGACTTTTTTTCAAAATTCTTAAAATACTGAAATAGACTCTCCTGACGTCGAAAAGTGAGAAAATACGGTCCTTTTCATAATTGAAGATAATTGTTTTGGCCAAGCGGCATCTCTTAAAAACTATCGAAATTTGACATATTAAATTGACAATGCTCTGTAAAGCCAAAAGTCTGTTCCGCACTTAATAAATTCAAATTTGCGACAGTGGGCTATAATTATGATACACAAAAATAAAAAGCAGAATAATGCTAGCACAAAGCAAAAGTTAACGGTTCTTTCTTAGTTTTCACATAAATTGAACTAAAATTTTGATAAAATCTACTGAACATGCTTTGACCACCTCTGTATATACATAGCTCCTTTGCTTCAAGAGATATTTCTATTTGATTTGTATAATAAAGGTTAAGTCATAACTCTTATTTTAAATTTTTATTAAAAAATTTGATTGATTTTTTTTTTTTTTTTTTTTTAATTCATAACTCTGATTTGTGGTCCCTGCTGAAAACATGTTTCATAATGAATTGATAGATTATTTTTACTTTCGAGTTTAGAAAATAAAAAAATTTATATATTATTTCGTATATTATAATATATAATAGGGTATTATATCAGTGTATATATATTGGTATTACTACTACCAGGAATATTCGTATCATTGGCGAAATTCTCAATTTGGCAAAGAGTAAAAATAACCGACGGAGGTTAACTAGGGCAAGGAAACCACTTAATATCTGTGATAAAATTGACTAAAAATATATTTTTTGATATTTTATTATATTTATATATATTTTGAAGGTATATCTATTCTCATATCTTATTTTATTTTTGTTTACGTTTACAAATTTGTGCAGCCATCAGTTGGATTAAAATTGAAACAAATATTAATTAAGTTTGTAATATCAAAGTGTTTGTCTGAAAATATATTGTATATTATATATTAGATAAGGAATTAATTATCATATACGAATATATTTACAAATATTATATAGATTCATCCAGATCCTTCCTTCTTTATAGAGACATCACCTCACTCTTAATCAGAAACTGGAATTGGAAGCATGGGCATGATTAGACTTCGTCTTTCTTCCACTCACTCAAGTATATACAATATTTATTATGAATATACTTGTGACACACTCAAGTATATATTTATAATAATATACTTGTGATTGTGTGCCGAATCACGTTGTTATCAGGCAAGCGTTCATGCATGTAACATAGTCCAATGCCATGATTTTCTGTTTTTATGTCACAATAAAGCTAATTGAGCTTATATCTAAGATCTGTGCCAAATGCGCCTTGTCACAGACTTTTGCCGCATGTCCGGAAAAATTCCCCTGCTAAAGGCTGATCGAGAGAGTGGGAGAGCGAGCGAGAGAGAAGAAGCTACACAGGCAGACAACTGAGAGATAGAGAGAAGGGGTATGTATGACTGAGATAGCAAGTGAGCTGAGTAGGAGAACGTAAAATACGCAGCTAAAGCACGCAGCCCTTATCGCTTGAACATGAACTTGCGCTGCCTGCTGATAAGATTGAGCGGCACAAGCCAGGTGGAATTGAGGCCTCAGACAACAAATAAATAGACGAACACACGCATTTAATAAAAAGTGAAAGTATTGGCCAGAGCAGGGGCCGCGGGCTGTTGAGCGGCAGACTATCTTTGTTTGTTTATACTTTATACTCTTTAGCTTGTCTGCATTGAACCAGATCGAGGATTGGTTAGATTAGATTTGACCAATTGGCTACGTCTTAGCTAACATCTGGTATTTCATTTCTATTTTTATCATACAGTCATTGTGTTCGCTCATAAACATAAGAGAGCATATAGGTTTTGTACGTTTGCTAGTCTGAGATTTTATATCTGAAATATATAGTATGTACTGTTGTCAGATAAATTTTTGGGATTAATGATGATGGTATATGTATGAAGCGTGGATAATCAAATGTATTCCCACTATCTCTCCACTCTATATGTTGACCACCAATGCTTTATATATATACGTCTTGGTGACGTGGCAAGTGGGAGGAAGAGCTACATTTTTTTTTTAGAATCAAAATGTTTTGAAATTGGTTCATCATTCAACTGACCTACAGATAGTTGAATGGATAAAAACAAAAATAAATAAATGGATATATTTAAAGACTTAGCGATGTATATTTATTGTATGGCTTGCCCTTGAGGTGTGGCCGACTGCATTGTTCTATTATACCTTTCATTTATTTGTTTTATTTCTCCCAATTGAATACAAAATACATAATTGTAATATGTTAAGGCATTTAGCTTTTTTTTCTATGACTGATTATTATATTATTTGTTTTCAGGATTCAGCGACACGTGCATAGAATTTGCCTAGTGACTTGGATTGTATTGCTATAATTGCTTATGTACAATATATATATGTATGTGTATATAAACGATCTGCTCTATATATACATACATATATTAGCTGTTTTGTTTTGCTTGGCTATTAACTTTATTGCTTTTTGTTTTTTGTTTCTCAATTTTTTTAATTTTTATAATTCGTTGATGATAATCGGATTCTTGATCGTGAGGGCCATGCCAATTTTTTAATCATTGTGCCAATTTGTTGTTGATCGTATCGCGGACTTCAACTTTCTAGAAACTGATAATTTGGTAGTAGTAATTAGTCAGTGTTAAAATGAAGTGTGATTTATTATACCCTGCAACGATCAACCAGAAGGGTATGCACAGCTGTCGCTCAACAAAAAAAAAAAAAAAAAACACTAACAAGGCCTTGGGTAAATTCGGTTTTCGCGAATCATAAAATTGATATCTAATGAAAATTTTTATTTTTGAAATATAAGAGGTATATTATAGTCATGGCTCTATTCGTTTGTTACACTATGTGCCTAGATCATAATAAAGACTGATAAATTATTAGGTAATTGCCAGACACACTTCAAGGGGCAATCAAGCAACGTATATTCCAATAATTTCGCTTATCATTGCGTGAAAATTCATTTGACTTCAGTTTTCGATGGGCCGCGCTTATCAATTCATTAGATGTCAGCACTTATGTTTGATTATCAACTATTTCAATTCGTATAATAATGTCAAAATATATAATATAATTAGGAGTAGTGTAAAAGACAGAGAGAAACAGACAGTGAAGGAGACAGAGTGAGATGACGAAAGGCAATAGAGAAGAAGAAACATAGAGCAAGTAAGAAACAGAAAATAGAATGAAGAATAGGAATAAAGTACAGACAGAGGCCCAAAATAATAACATTATAAGAGAGTTAGAGACAGAGATTGAGAAGAACAATGCAGAAAGATAGAAAAAGAGACAAAATAGAAAACAGATTTAGACAGATAGAATTTAAAAAAAATCAGATAAAAAAAATGAGATAACATTAACTTATTCTTAAGGAATTATTTAAGTTCATCTACTTCCTTAGTAGACTCTTTTGATATTTCTAAAATCCTGAAAGTCGTTACTACTACTATACTTAATGTACCGAATAAGAGCTCTCACACACACATTTCTTTTACTATTTTACTATCTTATTTTTATCTTAGATTTTCTCCAAAAATCATTAAATCATTACAAAGATTTTGTGGTATCATAATTATCTTAAATCGAATTCAATTTCCTTGCTACAAAATGTTTTTCGAGCAAACATTCTCGTAGGTACGATCGAAGTGGTTGCTAATTTGTAGCCAGTTTTGACAAATCAATTCAGCAGCTAAATTCAGTATTCTGATTTCAAATCTAGTGTGTAGTGATGTGTTCTCATTGCTTTCTTTATTGATTTCCTGGAAATTAAACTCGTGCCTCACAGAAGCTCAAAAACAACAACAACAACAACGACAACAAAAGCAAAGGCGAGTATCAGCGGCAGCTTTGATAGGCCTAGTGACTCGCAAATATTTATAGTTTCAATTAGTATCAACGTATGTATATACATATAAATTCTTATATATATATATATATACATATATTTAAGTATTCACGAATTTGGTCTATCTCTTGCATTAATATCCACACGATTCGGTCGTCGTTATCGTTTATAGTGCTGCCAAAAAAAATATATAGATATATTATATCTATGTGCATAGGTATATGCTGTGTCTATATCATATGTATAAAGATATATCTAGCAATTAGCGGGCATATAATAATACGAAATTACGTACAGGTTTCCTTGGTTGGCGAATCTATTAATATAGTTTTATTTTTAATTAAGACTTCTCCACGTCACCTGCTGCCAAACAGAGCGAGCGTCATCGATCACATCTCCGGAGATCTCAATTAAATTGGGAAAATAGATGAGCTTAAGGAAATGAAACACTCTGGACAACATTGAGCAACTGGCAGCACGAGCTGCACGCGTGAGCAGTGAAGGGTGAGGAAGAAGAAGAAGAGGTTTCAATTGATTTGCAGCGCATTGTAATTGAAATTGAAACAAATTAAGCGCAAACGCATTTCCCACACGAATTGCTCTACAATTCTTCTTCTTGAGGTTCTCTTTTTTTTTTTTTTGGGTTGCGGTTGGCGCTTTGTTCACACGTCTGGCACATGACTCGTAAATGGACTTTGGCATTATGTAGTCGAAAAAAAAAAACAACAGAAAACTACACTAAGAGAAAAAATGTCGGATTTAAAAAAATGCCGTGCCAGAAGATAGACGATAGAGAATAAAGAGAATGCAGAAGAGAAACACGAGACAAAAATGAACAAGTATGAGTAAAGACAGATATGAGAGAATGCGAACGTTCATGACCCACTAAATGATCTGAGTAGTTCATAAACTGCTGAGCTAATGAATAAGATGATGTTGGTTGCTATTGTTAAAAACCAGCCCTTGAAATTAAGAGGAAAGCCAATCATTTCATGTGAACCAATTTTCATTTACCAATGGAATTGATTCGCATTTTGAATTGATTTCTCTCAGTGTATTGAAATATATCGCAGCGTCTACATGTGCTTTTCAATTAAAATATCAACTGAATGTGGCCGACGGGCATGGCCGGTCGAGTGTCTATCGAGCGTCTGCCAATGCATCGGCTGCCATCAATTGGCTACAAAGTCCAAATCTCGTTGCGTCTAGATATCTTTATAGCGTATACTCAATATCGTTTGCTGCGTCACATACACGCACACTCTCACAGACACACACACAGACTGTGGATCTACTCTCACTTTCGATATGCGAGATTTGCCAGCTTCGTGGAAAATTTCTGCGTTCGCTCTTCATGATTTATCACACATTCTTGAAGCCTTTGGCTGCCTTTGCCCCATTATCTCAATTCTGGCATTTCCTATTTTTAGCAGTTTATATACACTAGAGTAGAGTATATGGATTTATCTGTGAATCTCCTAGGCTACACACGACTTGTTCGCATGCACAGCAGCTTCCGCCACCCACATCCATGGACATTCGCTAAATATGCTCACAATTATATATAATTTCATATATATTCTACTTTATATAAACACATCAGATTACCCACGGCAATGATTCAGTTTTCCAGTTGTTTCGGGCACGTGTGTCATCTTGAAAATTGGCCATGATCTGTTTGATTGGCTGTCACAAAATGAGTAAATTACTCATGACTTGCGTTACACTGCAATAAATGGGGCATGCTGCCTTTGCTATAATCGAAACATTAACTAAAACCTTAATTTGTTATGATAAAAATTTGAGGAAATATAAATATAATACTACAATAATATATTGAATTAAAAAAAAATAAAGAAAACAAATAAAATGATATTATACAATATTAATATATTATACAATATAAATAATATATAAATTATAAATATTTAAATAAATTTAAATTTTGCATATATGTATATATTTTTTAAATATATTTCATTTTAATTTTATAAATATTTTCTATACTCTTTTTTTTATACTCTTTTATTTATTTTGAAAAAATGCATTTCGCGTTTCTTGCAATTAAAAAAAAAAACTTTCCTTTATGTTTATATTTTTGGAAATATGATTTAACAAATCTTAAAGATTAGAGACTCCATCATCTAATATATTTTGGACATTTTGTTTGCTGTCAATCTGTTTTGCCACTTGATGATTTTAATTACTGGATTTATTATTATTACCGTTTTTTTCTTTTTGCTATTATATTTTAAATTATTGTTTTTTGTTGTTGTCAATTAATTCGAAAGTCGTGGGTGTTATCAATTGGTTATCAATGGTTTGAAGTATGTCTGGGCACCTTCCGGTTGTCAACAAGGAATCTCTCGTGGTCAATCACTTCTCAATCTTTCTATTTCGTATTTGTTCTCTTCGAAAATATAATAATAATTCAAATCTGGTAAAGAGAAGAAAAAAAAAAAAAAAAAAAAAAACAAATCAAAGAAAAGACTGTACTTGTTTACAAAATTTCAATTCAATTTAATTCAGTTTAATTCCTTTGATTATACTCCAGAAAAAATGCAAATATCGAAAATGTAATACTCTTTCAAATTATACACGTTGGGTTGTGATTGGAAAAGGTTTTAATATTTGGTATAAAGAGTTTTGGAAGCTGACAAGCTTAACGTGGAATTGAGAATACCCTTTGCTAGAGTAGATCGTTTAGCTTTATAATAAGCCATTAAAACATGTTATTAAAAAAATTCATATATATGCATACCCACACATGTGAGGCATTAGGAAACTACCCAAGAATATAATATATATTATTAATAATATACATTTGAGAGGCGCGGCCGCGATAAGCCTTGTGACGTGGCGTGGTACACGCGCGTGTGCTCCCATATGATCTTGGAGGAGCTTGACTTGGCTTTGAAAGCCCATTGGAAATAATAATAAATTTATCAGCTGATATTGAATAAAAAAAAAAAACGAAGGTTGAAAATCTGCCACAATTACATAAGGGGCAACATCATGCATAGAGAACGTGAAAACACGATCAATAAAATGCTAATCAATCATAATAGGTGCCATACCCGAAAAGAAAAAAATGATAATAATAATAATAAATTTATAGCTTAGCCACTCAATAAATAATCATCGAAACACGCGTCGCAATTAAAATGCAAACTAAATGGAGCGTAAGCCGATTGAGAATTACAACGAACGAGACGTGCCGCTCCGCGCCCCTCTAGGGGAGGGCGTTAGAAATTGACATCATTTAATAACGGTCAAGAATCAAACACTTGACGACGACAACGACGCCGGCGTCGATGCCGATGCCGATGCCGATGACAAAGACGCTGAAGTTCGAACTTTGGACCTGCTCGAGACACAGATCCAACCGATTTAAACGGTGTGACGACGACATCGCTCTGGTGTTGCATCGCAGCGGGCAGGCGGCCAGCACTCACGTTTTGTATGAGTTCGACATGCAACAGCTGGCTCGAACGTGCTGGAGCGTGTGCTCAAACGCACATGTTGCGAACGGACGGCCACCGTCACGCAGATCCAAATTCATCGTTGGGGGAAAGCCAGCGCCAGCGCCAGCAGCAACAACAACAACCACAACACAATTAACATTTTCTTATCAGATCAGAATTTCCAAACTCTCCCGCTCTCGCTCTCTCCTTCGCTCACTCTCGTTCTCTCGCTGCTTGAGTAATTGAAAATTGCGCATCATTTAATGTGCCTGGCTTTGATATCGCTGTTATCAGACAACAGCACAACAATACGCACTATCTCTCTCTGTCGCTCTCTAGCTCTCTCTCGCTCACCTTCTTTTGAAGCTCGCACAAGTCCAGGCCAGAACCGGACCGAACCTAGGCAAGCAGCGCCGCAGCAGAGGCGGCCACAGCAGCCTTTGCGGTCGCTACTTGCCCAGCATCGAATTATTCATACGCAGACGGTCTGACTGCACGGATCGAGCCAAAATAAAAAACAGAGGTTCCAAACAATTGATGGACAAAGGAATAAAAAAAGTGTTAAATATTATTCTTAAAACAATCTAACAACAAACTAAAAAGAGTTGAACATAATCAAAAATACAAATATTTTTGAAATATTATACATGTATATATTTTTTAGCTGTATATAGACAGCTGATTGGGAGAAGTGCAAAAAGTTCACATGGTGAAATAGCTAATTAATAACAATGAATATTTTGTGAAAATGATTTGCACAATCAATAAATAGCCAATCAAATAAACATTATAAATAAAAAACAACAACAACGTACGCAAACTGAAATAGTCTATAAATATTAATTTAAACATTTTAAAGGATTGCCCAAAAAGGTGAGTTATATAAGCTCTTTTTTCGATTTTTGTTAATTTAATTATAAAAGCATGCTTAATAAATTTAAGCAAATGGCCCACAAAGCTTAACACTTGACAGCTCACTTTTTATTTTTTATTTTAATTCTTTTTTTTTTGCTAAATATATAAAAATCACATGCTAACCACTTTGGCGTGTGCTGGAGATTAAAAAACTATAAAAATATACAGATATATATAGATAAATATAATATAAAAAGAGTACATAGAGACTTAAAAAATCTGAATGATAAATAGAAAACTGTGGGAAATATATAAGAAAATTTGAAAATGAATAATTAAAGATATATTGTAACTATATTTTTATCACAGATATACTTTAAATAGAAAGTATATTATAAATAAAAATTGCTTGAATTTTTTTAAGAATTTTTTTAGATTTTCAATGTGTTTCTTGTTTCTCGTTAATTATTTTCATTTCTAAGCAACATTTTCATATCAAGTAAAGAATCTCTCATTAACATGCAAATTCTAATAGATTAGCTTAGCCTGATTGATTGATTGATGAGTGTGCAACACTCAGACAGCATCGCCATTTTGAATTCATCACCACCACCACCATGATGGCGAACATAACCTCAAACAACCTTCAGCGTATTTGGGCAAACGTGTGTAAAAAGAAAACGATAGGAGCGAAAGAGAAAGAGATAACCAAAAATGTGGGGCTTATATAAGATTTATTGTCATGATTTATTTGAGATGCGAAATGACACAGAAATTCTTTAGAAAAAGTATTCCGCTGCCTATAAACCTGCAAATCGGAGCAATCTGCCATCGTGTGCGATTCCAAAGTTCACACTGGGCCATGCTCCAATACGCTGATCGCAGCACAGCGCGCATTTAGCTACAGATCAAGAGCAACAGAAATACAGAAAGTGAACGAGTAAGTGAGTGAGAGAGAGAGAGAGAGAAAGAGAGAGTGACTGAGGGTTAAGATTAATTCACCAAAAATAAAATACACACCAAAATTGTCAAGTCAAAACAGAAAGACAGATCTCAGCCGCAGTGCATTCAACTGCAGCTCTGCTGGCGTTGGGGGTATCAGAGCGCTTAATGATATGGATGGCGCCCAGGCGCATGGAAAACCCCCAGAAGTTGGCGTTGCCAATCTTCAGTTGTACTTTGCACCCAGCGTGCAGCGCAACTCTACTTCCAACTTCTGCTCATGCGCTCTCTCACTCTCCCCCCTGTTCCCTCTGCGTTTATGGGAGTGTGTGTGTGTGTGAGTTGTGTCGACTGCATCACGTTTTGCTTGCGTGTTCAATGACGTCGTTGACTCCAACTTGTTTGACTGCGTCGCAGCTCCCAACGCTGCTCCATTTAATGACAGTGTCGAATCAACTTGTAACCTTCTTCAGCGCTGTCGCTGTCGCTGTCGCTGCCTCTGCCTCTGCCTCAGTTGCTGTCGCTGTTTCAGCCTCAGCTTGATCCGTTCGCACGCCTCTGATTGGCAGCTGATTTGCAACTTGTTTGATTTGACCTGTTTGCTACCCTTTCTGATCATTATCTTGCTGGATTGTTACGTCAAATAGGGCAGGGCGCTCGTCACGTGTTGCTTGCTATTAACGTTAATGCTGTAATCAACGTCAGTTTTAACGGTGGAAAATCACTTAAGGTTCAACATTAAATATGAGCTGATCATAATTCAGTTTGATTTGATGGCTTGTAATATTTTACATATATCTTGGCTTGCATATCTCTAGCATACTTTTGGGTTGTGGTAATAGTTGGATAAACTATTGATAAGTAGGCAACAAGATATTGTAATCAATATTATGAAATGGAATTATGAACATAAACTAAATTGTAAAACAAATCTGAATTTATTCAATTTAAAATATATATTTAAAAAAATATATTTTGGCCTTACTACTTAGAATACGATCTTGAGATTATTAGCTGACCTCTTTCTATCTGTATCTCATTCGCACATAGACCCTCTCTCCCTCTCCCTTTCTGTCTATGCTGAGATAACATAAAATGATATCTTTGCTGATTTCTTATATTTTTGCCAAGTCTCACGTTCACGTTTCTTAACTTGGCTGATGAAATTTCTTTCGGAAAAAAGTCGACTCGAACACACATTTTTCTTTATAAATTGGCAATATGTAGTATATATGTGTAAGTATGTGTATATTTACATATTTAGCGTAACAAGGTCAATTAATTCGAACTGGATCATTAGCTATGCGTCTGTTGCTGTTTCCGTTTCTTAATCGCAGCATAATCAGTTTGATTAGCTCAGCTCTCGGTGCAAAGTGATTAAACATCAATCATACAGGCAATTATAATACAGCTATGTTTGTACATATATGCATATGAGTAGCGTTGACTTGAGCAATTATGTATATACATACATGCATACATACATGCATACATACATACATACATACACACATACATACACATATACAACATTAAATATTTATACAGAGCGTAGTATGTGACATATTCCATGTAGGCATCATAAAAATAATTTGAATATTTTTTTTATTCATTTCTTTTCTTTATGTTGCGAATCGAGCATTTCGGCGCTTATCAGCCACGTTAACTGATTGACCCACATGTTAATGGACAATCAAAGTGTGGCTGATTGAATGCGCAAAAATTTGGGTATTGGGCGAGGCAACAGGTGCAAAAATGACCAAACATCAAATCAAATTAAACGGAACCAAAATAAATTAACTACACAATTTATGCAGATTGATTTTCTTTTTGTTTCGGTCTTTTGCACAGCTGCTGCTGCGTCCACGTCGACGTCGCGACGTCGCAGTCGACGGCTTCTTAAGCTGATGCAATGAGACAGAATATTTGCATATGAATTTGTCTTGTCTGCCGCCGTGGTAAGCGCGCATAGAGCACAGGGGGGCTGTTCACCAGAAGGGGCTGCGGCCAGGCTGGCTGTGGGAAAAACGAAACGAACGACCGAGCGTACGAGCGATCGACCGAACGAAAGTTCGTGGCGCATTCGTGTGCCGGCTCGAATAAGCTCGTGTCATACGAAGCGATGAACGACTGCGACTCGACTGCGCGCTCTCTCTCTCCCTCTCTCTTACGTTCGTTCGCTGGTCGACAGCGATCAATCACAATTGCAGCGAAGACATAAATTCTTCTACTAATCAGACGGGCGGCTCATTCATTCACAACTCGTTTGCACTGTCGTATGGCAAAGTCTAGCAGCAGTAATAAACACTAAATTCAGCAAAAAGAAAAAAAACAATTTGCGCTGATTTTCATTTCGTATTTCGTGCTTCGTGTATTTCTTGTGCTTCGTGTGTTTCGTGTCCGGGTTCGCAGCTTGTCTTGACCCCGGCTGGTTCCACTATAAACTGATTCTCTGGCTACGTGACGAAGTCAATCAAATTATAAATTAATGTGCTCTAACGGTACGTGTGGTCCATATTCTCAATTAATTAATTGCCTGATCAATGCGGCGTATACGTGATGCTGCACTTCACTCACCTACGTCTCATCCAATTCAGTTTAATCACCTTCGACTTCGCCTTTGCTGCAGGCGCAATTTATTAATTCCACATTTATTAGCAATTTTTGCGCAGTTTCCGAGCTGCGACGATAATGTCAATTAAATATAAATATAATTTTTTTTCTTAATTTTTTTTTAGTATTGCATTTATAATTGCAACGCTTGAAAATGTTTAAAATCAAATAAAAATTCACCTGCACTTTGCCGCGTGCCTGATTGGAAAAACGTTTTTTTTTTTTTTATGCCATGGAAAAGTGATGTAATTCTAATACAATATTGACATGCTGGCAATGAAATTGAACTTTTAATTGGGGTTTTTCTATAGCTCTAGAATTATCTATAGTTTTTAGATTTCATTAGGATTGAAGGATATAAAAAATATTAAAGAACCATAGAAGTTTTAATGTTAATTATATCTGATTTTTTTATTCCTTCATTTGATATATATTATTTCCTATTTCATTTAATCTATATTCACTTGCATTCATTTCATCTTAAACTTTTTTTTAAGTATAAAAACATTTTCTAAACGTATTTCTTCTACTTCTCTTTACTTGCAGTTATCGAAAATTAAATTTGATTTAAATCTACAATCTACACTATGCAGCAGCATAGATTGAAATAATTAAAGGATATAAAGGAAATACTGCAACAAAAATTGACATTAATTAATAATTACACAAAGTGCAACAACAAGTTAACAAAACGGCAACAATTAGTGCGCAACGCTGCAAATCTATGAGTTTTGTAAGCCAAAGGACTACGAACATTGAGTTTCAATTGCTGCCGAACAGATAACAATTAAGAAAAGTGTGTGTTTATTTTAAGGCCAATTAGCGCGTTTCGTTTCGATTCGAGTCAAGTTTTGCTGAAGAATAAAGTCAAAGAGATGGCCAAGTACTATATGACCCTGGCTCTGCTCCTCTGCCTGGCCTTGGAGAACAACAACATCTATGCGCGCTCACATCCCAGCGGCTCGGACGAGGCGGGTAGCCTGCCCTTGGTGCGCGCTCATCCCCATTCGAGGCATCAGCCGCATCAGCACTCGCAGCAGCTGCAGCATCAGCACGTTCAGCAGCTGCAGCAGCATCATACACGCCAGCAGCGCGATCGCCAACCGAAACGCATCGCGCCGGATCCGACCAGCGAGGAGGAGGAACTGAATCAGCTGCACTACGAGCAGCGACTGAGGCGACATCTGCGCAGGCAGCGGGAGCATCAGCTGGAGCAGGAGCGCAGCTATCATCGCGTCTCTGCCACACAGCTGAAAACCAGTCCCAATCTGTGGCAGCTGCTCAGCCAGGGCTATCAGTTCGACGACAAGGAGGAGCAACAGGACCAAGCTCAGGACCAAAACCAGGACCACCCCGAGCTGTTTCCGCCCATGTTCAATGACGCGCCCGCTGATGACCTGATGCAGCATGAGGATCCACAGGATTACATTCGCAACGAGCTGCAGCAGAGCCTGGCTGAGCCAGCGCCGCCAATTGTGCTGGACGATTCCGCTACGGCTCATAGTGCCAGCAGCCATACGAACGGCACCGCCTCGCGTGGCTGTCCCAAGTGCGAGAGCAATCGCCAGGTGGAGCACATCACGGAAGAAGAGCTGCGTCGCCTTCGTATCGAATTTGTGAAGCAGCAAATTCTTGAGAAGCTGCGCCTCAAGGAGAGCCCCAATGTGTCCGCCGTTGAGCTGCCACGCCCCATTTTCGAGGGAGTCACTCTGCAGAATTCAGAAGAGTCCACTAAGAACAAGGACTACGATGATTATTATGCGCGCACCAATCAGAAATTTATACTCCTCCAAAGAGGTAAGTTCAAAAACAAGGTTACAGTTATTTAAATATGAATTATTGAGAAAGAAATGGAGAATACTACAGAGAGTTGAAGAATTAAAAGTACAGAAATGAGGAATAGAGAATATGGTATATGGAAGAAATAGATGGCAGATATTAGTGAATAGAGATTTAAGAAAGACTTTTGTAGACTGTAGAGAATAGAGTGTAGAGATTACAGATACGGAATAGGGAATAGGGAACGGGAAATAGGGAATCGGTAGTAAGGAAAATGAAATAGAATAGAGAGTAGAGAGTAAAGAGTAGAGAGTAGAAAGTAGAGAGTAGAGAGTAGAGAGTAGAGAGTAGAGAGTAGAGAGTAGAGAGTAGAGAGTAGAGAGTAGAGAGTAGAGAGTACATTAATTTTGGAATATTGCTAATCAATTCTATTTTTCTAATTATAGAAGAAACCGAATGCAGTCGCCTGGGCGCACATCCCTCGATGTGCTTTAGCTTTAAGATCGACGATATGGATTCGGACGGCTTCGATGTGAGCAGCGCAGTGCTGTGGCTCTACAAGAACAAGCAGAACTTCACCAAGTCTAGAAACGAGAGCCAGTCGAACGGGCACCAGCAGAAGCAACAGACCCTGGTGGTATCCGAGGTGGAGCAGCAGCTCGACTCCAAATATTTGCCCTTGGCCAAGACCATAGCCATACAGTCGGTGGATGTGCAAGGTAAGCGAGAGAATTCGTTTCGAATTCGAGATTGAAATCGAAATCGAAATCTATAGAATAAGTGGACTAGAATAATGCGATAAGTGCTTGGCCCATTAGCAACTGTTTTCGTTGAGCTGTTGGTCGAAAGATCAGCGATAGCAGATGTGTTTGCAAGGGCCACTGTGCGCAATCCGGGATTTGTGGGGGTGAATAACTTTTTGGCAACGAAATCAAAATATTTTTTCTGAAAGCCACAAAGTGAACTTTAGTCTGCCTAGAATTTCACCAGTTGTCGATAAGCTAAGGTGAGCCAAGCACAACAACAATTATTTACAAATACACAAATATTATAAAAAAAGGCAATTAAGATTGGTGACTCAAGAAAAAAACAAATGCTGAGCTAGCTCTCATGAAAGCACAGTTGCGAGGTATTAGATTTTGTGATAGCCCATATGGAAATAACAGTTTACAATGTTTTAATGGGCTGTTAAAAGCGGGCTGTTAAGTTACAGCTGTTAAAAACAGCAAAAGAAGAGGTTCAAGTGAACTTAAGAGAACGCTGTTAAGTAGTGCTCTATAGAAAATTACTAAATGGTATACTAATACATCTATTTCCTTTCTACATTTGCATTACAGACGAATGGATGAAAATTAACATTGAGTGGCCAATCAAGCGCTGGTTTGGCAATCACGATCTCAGCCATCTGATACAGATCACCTGTGAGTCGTGCGATATTGCGAGCATGGAGGAGATCATCTCGGTGAACAAGAACTACAGACCGTTCATAATGATCGACACGCAGAATCGACGCAGTAAATCACGACAGAAGCGCAATATCAACTGCTCGAGCGGCGTCACCGAATGCTGTCGGGAAAAACTCTATATATCATTCGCCGACATCGGCTGGGACAACTGGATATTGCAGCCCAAGGGCTATGATGCCTACTTCTGCCGCGGCTCCTGCAGTTCCGTGGCGAGCGTTGCTCAAGCAGCATCGCATCACAGCTCATTGCTGGTAAGTTTCAAATTGCGATTGCAATATTGAAATTGAAATATTTATTTGATTTCTGTTTTTGGTTTCGCTTATAGAAAATCCTTTCAACAAATGGTACACGCAAACCGCTGGATCTGATACCCTGCTGTACCGCCAAACAGTATTCCTCATTGCAGTTGGTCGTGCTGGATTCCAGCAACTCAGCAACAATCAAGACCTTGCCCAACATGGTCGTTGAGTCATGCGGCTGCAGATAGTTACCAAGCAAAGGCTACTCTAATTCCCTCTCTATCTATCTATATATAGGTTCATTTCAAAATGAACAGACAAATTAATAGTAGTTCACACACACACACATACACACACACACACACATCGTAGTTTAGTTGTAATTTAAATTCATTTTTCAATTCATCGGCATTCGTCGTAATTTAAATAATTTAAACACGCTGCCATTAGCCGTAGTCGCAATTAGTTAATTTGAGTTGAAGCTGTAAGCATATGTACTTAAGCGCTCGAACTATGCCTAATCAAACACTAATTATATTTAATTAGCCAATAATTACATGCATCAATCGTCAATCAGTCAATCATCGAGAGTTCATCTAATATGTACTTACTTTTGTCTAATGTGTTTTTGTTGTCTTTTTTTTCTTAAGTAATTGAAAAACATTAGTAAAATAAATAAAAGAGCACAGTCTTTGAATGATCAAAGATTTAATAAATTTATAGAGAAACTATTGGTTTTTTAATATGTACAGCTCCCATACACAGAGAGCCCTTGACATCTTTGAAGACATTGAAATATTGGCAGCTGCTCACCTAAGCTCTAAGCGCGTAAGATGAAATTTATATTTTGAAAATAGTAAACTTTGTATTAAAGTTTCCCTCAATTTTTTATTTAATTCATCTATATGTCTAATTTACCCTATTTTATTTTTATGTACATAATTCTATAATTTCATCTTTATCGTTTCTCTACAATTATTGACAACATATAGTTTTAAACGAAACTGAATAAAACTATTTAAATTTATAAAAATTGCATACTTTTAGCCAGCTTTTGTTAAAATTACAGAAAATGGTGCAATATTTGTCAACAGCCAGCGCTTTACAGTTCTTTTATAAATTTTCTGTAGCATGATTTAAGGCTGAAACTTGCAAGGAAACTAATACATGACATCAGAAGTCATAAGGTTAATGTAAGTAAGTAAGTAATTAGGTAAGTAAGAAAACAGACGTTCCATTAGTAGTAGTAGTAGTATTAATTAGTAGTGAATCAATATAGGGGAATACATTTTTATTAACAGTAAATTAACATTATTTGTTCCTTTAATCTTTTTGCTATAAGTATTGTATATTAAAAATTTTATATCTATCATACCCAGATTTTCCATGAGATATCAGTAGGCGAAAAATTCGTTTACAAAAGCGTCACTTTATTTAAAAACAGCGCCATCTGTGGCAAATTAGCGTAAACTTAACAGGTATTGCAGCCCTAATTCAGCTCACAACCGCAAGGTGTCACTACGTGGCATTGCACATACGCCCTGTGCATCAATGTACTAATATTTTAGGCATCAATTAATATAAACTATAAAATTATTAGACTAAAAATATTGGAACATTTCATATTTTATCGAGCAACAACATTGAAAATTAGATATAAAACAACTAAATAAATATTCCATAAGCCAACTAGCGCCATCTGTTGTTGGCATGCTGCGGCAAAGACATTGAAGTCATTTTCATAAGAGCATCGTAGTTCTACTCACGGCCACAAGGTGGCGTTACTGGCCATTGCGCATACGCCCTGTTCGGCAATTGGAATTGCAATCAAATATATAAATTCAAATGGAAATAAAAAACATCGTCAATGCGATACGAAATCCGTTATGCTGCCATAGCCAGCGGATAGCTTGACGTAATCTATAGCAGCGATCTCTTTCGCACGCTTTTGACTAATTTCATGTTTTTTCGGCTTGGCTGGGAACAAAAAAGTCGAGCGACAATTCGACAATTTCGTCGGCGCTTGGTGGGCGTAGAGCAGGAAATGGTCGATTTGTGTGCCATTTATAAAGCGCAACGAGCAGAGATCTCTTATGTGAATGCGAATGAGAGTACCTATGCATACATGAATAAGATAGATATATCGAAATATATATGTATGTACACATGGCATAGGCTATAAAAAAACCCGTTGCATAAGTCAGGCAGATGCAACGACTAAAATCGTTTCTATAAAACTATTTTAGGCAATTAATGGCTATCAATAGCATTGGCTACAGTTCGAATGATACACTGGGAGAAAAACTTTACACCCAATACGAGTTTTATCGAAATTTGCCAGCCTTAATTGGGCAGTAAAATAAAGGCAAGAGCGCATCTTAATTTTTGATTGCCTTAATTTTCAACATTTATATTATTAAATTTCTCTGAGTGTACTTTAAGTAGCCTGCACATCCATTCATAAAACTCAATTCAATCAATAAGAGCGTGGGTAAAGCGCAATTTCCATAGCCATTGCACTTATCTCTGAATGCCTCATTATTGTCATTTGACACAAATTGCTTTTGTTTCTCTAGAGAATCGCTTGGAGACTCTGTGAGAAATGTTTGATTGATTCGGCTATTTCTGGTATCAGGTCAGATGATAAATTGTACATATTTTATGCAATTGCAACTTTTATAAATGAATACAGAGAATGAGCCTTTATAAATATAAAAAAAAATTTAAAAAATGCAATAAAAGTATTATGAATATCTTGACCAGAGTGGAGTAGACTTTCATATTGGTTTGAATAGCTTGCCAATTGATTTCATTTATTAATTGTAAACGAAACTCTGCAGATTATTTTTCTTTGTTTCATTCTTGAGCTGCTTGTAGCAGCTCTGCATTGGTATCAAATATTGTTTCTATCGTAGAAAACAAAACATATTAAGCAATAAATAGCAGTAAAACGTAAATTCAATAATATACTTTAATAAAAAAATTAGTTACATGATTAATTGTGTATTGTTTTATATTGAAGGTTATTCAATCAAATTATCATTTATTAGCATCTCATGAATCAGCTTGAACTGATTTGAAATGGAAACTTTTAGGTTAATGCTTAGAAGTTCATCACAGCAACTGCGTGTCGTATGAGATAACTGAAGATACAATAGGATCATAATTCCCTCAGTTCGAGACCATTACCGAAGATACATTCAAATCGATTCAGACCAACTGAAAGCCACCTTGAAGGAGGGTATTCTACTCTATAACACGGTTTCATAAAGATAAATTATACTGATTATTTGCCAATAAGCATGCTAATAATGATAATGACACAAATTAGGCAAAAACGTGATCTTTTTGCGTAGGTTCTTCATCAATAAGACTCGGTGACGTTTGTTCTCACTCTGTGATAATTTTGAGCATCGCCAATGAGATGCCGTAGCAACAGACAGTCTAGCTTTTGTTCTAGTCTATGAGTCATGGACTGACTGAAGATAATGTTACTGCCTAAGAAGGCAATTTACAGGCTCTATTGATTGCAGCTAAGGATAGACATTACTATTAATAAATTTATATTACGTCAACAGCGTCTCTGTCAAAGTAAAAGGACTTTAAACTTAACATAATCCATTATATAAATATAAATCTATTATTTGTTTGTTTATTGAAATATGTCACTGAAGAAACTTGAGTCGACTAAATCAGATATTCGTTAATAATAATCCAAACAGAGGGCTCAATAGTAGAAGCACTATAAATAAACAAAGCTAACATCGATGCCAAGTCGCGCTGTCAACACAAACTTTTCTCGCAAATGAAATATTAAACAGGAATTTATAAAATATATATATATATACAAATACGTGCACAAATCCATATACAAATACATACAGAGATGTATGATATAGCTGATGCGTAAGCTAATCGATTTCAAGGCCAGAATATTCCCAAGCCCAGCAGGCAAGGCAAATGTACATTATTTATTGTTATTATTATTGCTATCATTCTTGTTGCGGGACATTGCTTTTCAGGCGCTGGCTCATCCAAATACAAACACAGATATGTATGTATCTATGTACCTATGTTTTACTGAAATTCTAAGCGCACTAATTAGACTATGAAATGAGATACTTGAGTTAGATATACGGCTATTGCTTCTGTTCATTTGCAGGCGGCAGCGACGAGGGCTGCGGCTCAATTGAATGCTGAGACCAGTCCAGGAGGCACACACAGACACACACACATACACACACACATAGACACCCACATACATATCTATCCGCCATATACTATATACTTGATATACTTTAGGCGAGGCTGCCAGAAAGGCGAATACAAACTAAATCATAATAGTAATAGCCAGTAAGAGCAATCGGGCATAGCCGACTGCATAATGCACATTCTCATTGCATAAAAAGTTAAATTGGAGGAGCTGTATCTCTTGAAAAAGTCTATCTGCAGAAGGCGTCTTCCTCTAAATTAGGCCTACCTGAGAGAACGACATTTATATATAAAAGAAGACCATCTGTAGAAAAGACAGAAGAGGTGTATTCGCAGAGAAGGTCTCTCAGTGGACTGCCTATAGAGTAGAGCTGTATGTAGATCAAGCTTATAGAAGAGATAAAAATTATAATAGATATACTCTTTTCATCCGCGAGCGTCATAATAATAATATTAGTAGTAAGAGCAACAAATTGAGCTTGGCTACAGTCGAAGGCAATCACTGTTTGCTTTTCAGTAACTGTAAAGTGCCAAAGGAAATCATATTTCATCTGGCAATTAGATCCGATGAACTGTAAATCTTTTCCATTTTAATTACTTGACTTCGTTTCAGGCTGCTCATGAATTTTTGTATATTCTCCGAGCAGATATATATGTATAAATTATATATATACTTATATATCACTTGTACACTGAGCATAATTAGTGTCTTCAAATTCAATTAGGCAAAATTGTGTCACGCGCGTGTTTTGCCACGTCTCATTGGACTGTGGAGTATTATTCTTATACCGAATGTGTACTATAAAGAATATTGGACTAATAGGGTATATTCTAATGAGTGTCTGTCTGTGTTTCTTGTTTGCTGCTTAACTGAATATAGTGAAATAAATGGTTGCCTTAGTCTAACTCTTAGCTAATTGACATTGAACTCAACTATGCATACGAATTTACTGCTAACAGAGCTGGAGCGTTCCACTAGACGAATTATTATTCCCGTGTATACTTTAAAAAAGTATATTAAATGATTTGCAGACGTGCATATTTTCAGATTCTTAAGGGATCTAAGTATGGGTCTAAAAATGGGTTAGGTGTCTTAAATGGAGGCGAGTCTGAGTTCTGCTTAAATTAAATTTATTTTAATCATTCTATATATACAATTTTTTTTACAAATAATTGTATATACATATATACGAGGTCTGTTCAAAGAGTATACCGAAATTTGGATTTTTCGCGATCTACGCATATTCGAATTTCGATTCTACCTTCGTTCTGCCTTTTAATCACAGTTTTCCTCAAATTTTCTGATTTTCAATTCATTTAAAATTTAAATAAGAAAATAATTAGTAAATATATATGTATATATATATCGTTATATATACATTATATAGCTAAGTATTGTGAATGATCTAAATGCAAATGTAAATCTGAATGTGTCTTGATTAAGACCGACACTTGTTGTTGCTGTCGCACTTGTTATTGTTGTTTTCAACACGCCGCACAATTTTGCATATGAGACGTTGGCAGCGACGCCAACGTCAACGTCAACACCGACGTCGGCGTCGCAACGGCAGCAGAAGAAAATCTGTCTGTGTCCCCCCGACGCGTCGGCCAGTGTGTCAAAGCGAGAGACAAGAATATACTTTATTCAGCATGCAACACGATGATCGCGCTTGCAGATGATAATGATCGTGGCAATGGCGATGATGATGGCATGCTGATGATGATCAACGCCTGCGACTTGAAACGCAGGCGTCGACGACGCAGCTCTGCGAGTTTTTGTGGATTTGGTTTGGATTGGATTGGCTTCTGGCACGAGCTGTCGACTCAGTTGAGTTCAATTTCTAGAACGGGAAGTGTCGATCAGTAGCCGTGCGAACGCGTGCCCGAGCCGAGAGGAGCAGCCAAAGGATATATAGATATAGATATACCCACGCACACACATATAAATATATATATATAGATAGGATATACAAATTATATATATATAGACTCGATAAGGATATTCCGTCGTGGCAAAGAACAGGAAAATGCCAACTATAACCGAGGATTGCATCGATGGCTTTCAACAGTATTATTCGCGGCCGCCGGAGATGCCCAAGAAGAAATCCATCAAGCAGATGATCTACGACGCCGAGGAGAACTCGTATTTCGGCAGGACTGTCGAGAGCTGGGGTAAGTCGAATCCTGCCCGCCTGCCTGCCTGCCTGCCTGCAATGCCCTAGAGTCTATCTGGATTTTTGCAGTTACGTAAAGCGCACTGCGCGTAAATCTTGATAAATGTCAAGCTGTGCCAGTTGTGGATTTAATCAAAGTCTTTTGTCGCCGCATTAGCGAGCCACACACACACACATACACACATATATATATATATGTATATGTATTTATATATCTAGTATGAGTATCGTAGGCAGCGGTTCGCTTTTATTGCTTTGGCACTTTTCACATCTGTGTTCCTCTGTGTTTGTTCTCTTTGACCTTTGGCGGACACACACACACGCACACACTCATGTATCTGTGTGTCACATAGGGTACACTCGACCAATATGCCGGTCAATTATGTCATTATGCAATCAAAGCATGCACCATGGAAGTGCCACAGCAACAGCAGCAATAACAACAACAACAACTCATAGGAAAAATTCAGCATTTCAGCTGACATTGACTACTGATCAAAAATTTCATTTTTCGCAACAATTAAATTTCCATTTAAGCCCCATAAAAGTAGGCATATTTATTAATGAAAAAAAAATCTAAGTAATTTAATTTTGAAAAAAATTAAAGTATTTATATCGCATTATTTTTGTTTCACTTTAGCGCAATCACAATTTTTTTTTTTTTTTCAATATATAAAATTTTTTTAGCGCAATCACAATAGTTTTTTTTTTTCAATATATAAAAATTTTTTATTATTAATTTCATAATTTTTAGAAAAATCAAGCTCGATATCAGAGTTTTACCTTGATACCTTAAAAAATGAAAAAAAAAAATTTTTAAAAAGTATTTTATATAAAAAAACAAAATATATTAATTATTAATATACATTTTTGAGAAATTTTAAATTGAGTTCATTGTGCATAAACAAAATTTAATTTTTATAAAATTAAAAGTAGTTTTTACTGTAGATTTCTATTTCTACTTTACTTGCGTAAAGCTACATTTGATTAATTTATATATTTATCTATTGTTTAAGATGATTTTGGAAATATTTAACTTAGGAGGTCTGCAGAATTCTCCTTCAAAATCGAAACTTAAAAAAAATACATTCAAATTACAAATTTGACTAGATAAATATTAAATACAGAATGTTTTCTTAATTCTTATATACTTGTCTCGTAATACCCATATATTTCAAGCCAAATTTACTGCAAGCAGTCAGTGATAAACCTTAGTTTACCATATGAATAAATTTAAATAATAATGAAAACGAAATTCGACTTGAAGATGTATTGTATTTCAAATATGCCAGACAAACTGCGTTTATCCATACGATGCTTTGTTTTATACTATGTTGCCCACACAGCTTATAAACGGACTACAGTTACATATTTACAGATAGTCTTTTAATTGAAATATTAAACAACTACTTCGATATATGTATATTGAATCCAGTGTATTAAGAGATTGTGAAATAGAATCGCATTGTTTGTCTCTCAGATTTCTGATGGACAGCTTGGACACATTCTAGCAACAGGCTGCAACAATGCAAAAAGCTGTATTCTCTATTCAAGGGAAACGTTTAACGTTTTAGCCGTGAGCCATGAGCCATGAGCCATGAGCCATAGGCCACTTGGGTGTCACTCAGGGAAACGCTATCCATTATGCTAAATGGATGGCTGTCATTCAGAGCCAGAAGCGAATCCCCTATTCAATACAACGGACAATAGTCTGTACACCCACCATTCCACCCCAACTATTCCACTCACTCTCTTTCTCTCTCCCTCTCTTTCTGTTCTGTCGCTGTGTCCTCGCTAAATAGAGCCGGCATGTACACGATATCATGGTTTGAGTACTTGCTAATTGGACTACATCATTCTCTTGCTCCGACTCTCCTAGACAGGAGCTCTTAAATATTTCATAGAAGTAGAGCGGAACAACAACAACAATTTATAATATATTCAAATCTGGAGCTTGTCACACATTCCACATGCACACATACACAAACGCACACTCACACACACTCGTACGCACACTCAACCTCATTTTTGTCTTCCTGTCATGGCCTCACTCATATTCTATACGCAAATATTTGCCGTCTTTGCAAAAAAATAAAGTGAAATACAACAAACAAAAAAAGGAGTCAACGCGTAGTAAAAGCCGCATTTTACGAGCAAAACAACCCTTAGCCAAATGCCAGCAACCCCCAGTGGCAAGTGGCAAGCGGTAAGCGGCAAACGGGACTGGAAGGCAATAGAGTTGAATGGAGTTTTAGACAAACTGGTTAACGCGGTCACTCACTCACTCGCTCGCTTCCTCCCTCCCTCTCTCTCTCTCTCTCTCTTTCCTTCCACGACTCACTGTGCCGCGTCGCATCAAGCTGACTCAACGATACACAGAACTCTCTCTAGTAGTAAATGTAGAAGAGACAACGAAAGCGTTAAATATAAGTGTAAACAACGATCCTGCAATTTCAACAGCAACATAAGTGAGCGAGCGAGAGAGAGAGAAGGAGAGTGTGTGAGCGTGCTGGTGCGAGTATAAGATAGACCAAGCTCATCACTCAATTGAATTTGAGTGCAATTTGATGTGGGACTCTGCAAATTGGCTTCATGGCCACAAAGCATGCAACAACAACAATTGTATACAGAGCGACCACTGCAGGCTGCAGTTAACGGTGCATTTGCATTTAACAAATGTATTTAGATTTAGAGCTGGGACATGAAACGGCAGCATTTAAGTGCATAGAATATAAACAGATCACTGAAAGAAAAGTATATAAACATTAAACAATTTTATATATATATTCCAATATATATAAATCCATAATTATTATTTGTTATTTGATAACTTTAAATTATATTATATCTAGTCTAGTTCAATCTTATAATTATATCTTATATACTAACTGCCATCTTATACTACTCTAATACATATAACATTCTTTAGTAAGAAACTGAGTCAATTATTTATTTACACTCGAAAGAATTCCGTTCAGTTTGTTGCAGACCTGCATTGCAATGAAAGATGAAACCACAGCAAATATATATATTTACAATAAAAATGATAAATAATAAATGAGAAATTCTAATGCAAAGCTGTTGCAACTGATGAATCATGTCTGGCATGTTCTATGAATCATTGGCTAAGTAGCACTATTCTTAAATGGAGCTCAATGAGAGTGAACGGTACTTTAATTTCGCTCAGTGTAGCACTCACTCAGCGCTGAATAATTTGCGTAAAACGTACAACAGAAACTGCAGCTAGCAAACAACCATAATTTACGTTGCATGCGCCTAATTAAAACAACTACAACAACAACGACAACAACCATGCAACATCAATTACAATGGCAGGGCACGGCCCAAACCCAAACCCAAATCTAAAACACACTCGAAAATGTAAATGCCGCCAAAAAAAACATTTTGCACTCAAAACAAACTCAACGAAAGCACTGCTGATCCCACTCAAGAGAGAGAGAGAGAGCGAGAGCGCGAGAGGGAGAGAGAGAGGCACTGACTGTTGCGTTCCAGCCGCAACGAACTTAACTCAACTCGACGCGAACGTCGAACGGAACTCAGAGGCCAAGCCAAGTCTGTGCGCTGAGCTGTTTGGCGGGCTGCTCTATGGCCAGCCAGACTTCAGTTCAGTTTCAGTTTCAGTTTTCAGTCTGGAATTTGTTTTGAGCGTCGACGAAACGTTGCGTTAGCGGGCAGCGGTCGAATGCCAAGCGGGGCAATTTATAAAATACAAAATATTTATATAAATCCGATATATTAATAGGAATAGAAACGTAAATAAAATCCCAGCAGCAGAAGAGAAGAAATCAAAGATTCGCTTCGTGTTGCATTCTGAATTGTGGTTGTGGTGTGCGTTTCATAAAACGTGTACGAGATTTGTGTTGTGTTGTCTTCAGCTGCCTGGAAATAAGGTGTTGTACAAGTGTCTCTGTGTGCGCTTGTTTCTGTATGTGTGTGTGTGTGTTTGAAGTGTGTTATTGTTGTGCTGCGCTCTTTAGCAGACTTTAGTTTAAAATCACTTTTCTTTAGAGAATATGTTTCATTCAGCTATGGCTCAGTATGTCACGCCCAAAATGTGAAAGACACCAATACAGACTCGCACACACACACACAGAGTCATAGGCACGCATTTAACGCAGTTATTAAAGTAGCTGCCATAATAAGGTGTGGTTGTGTCGACGGCTTTAAGAGCGAAACCACTCAAAAAACTCAAACTCAAGTCGGCAGCTAAGAGATACAAAACCCAAATATCAATGCTGTGTATGTGTGTGAGTTTGTCAGAGTACGTGCTGGTTTGTGTAGTCGCATTTTGTTTTGTATAAAAAATAATTGTGCATAGGCAAAATAAAACATAAACATGAAGCAATACGTGCAAAAAGATACAAGATACAAATGTATCTGACGGTCAAAGCAAAGAAGATACAAAAACGCGACACGGCAGACAGCAGTCAGTCAGTCAGTCTTTTAGGCCAGCCTACCTCCCGCCCTCTCTCTAGTTTATCTGTTGCACTCGGTTAAGGCCAAGCCAGAAGATACTTGGCATTGTATCTGTCAGATACGCGTAGGTAGTTGCCCACAGCGAAGCGGCACTGCCTGCGGCTTTTGAGCTCGCATTGGAAAATGTGCTAAGGGCTGACACGAATATCCCGGGGTAGATATTATGGCCAGGACAAAAAGGCGCCAAAGTTCTCATGTTATTTTGTTGTTGCTAAAAGCGTCGGGAAGAGAGTGTACAGAACTTGATGGGGAAGCAAAACAAAACAGAGAGCCAGAGCGAGAGCAAGAGAGCGGGGAGGAGGGCGAGTCACAGAGGGAGAGGGGAGAGAGAGTATGAGTGCGTGGAAAATACGAATCAGTGTAGAAAAGTTGTAAAGTATGTGAAAAAGAACCCGAGTAAAAAGGTTACGAGTAAATCATAAAAATGTGTGTATACAAACAGCTGAAAGACCAGTAACCAATAAAACGTGTGGAATATTCAAATCAAAATGAACCAATAAAAAACGGAAAAGAAATATATAAATACAAACAAAGTATTGTGAAAAATATAAAATATTGTATTGTAAAAAGGATATGCAAAATAAAAATATATATGTTTCATATAACAAGCAAAAGCAAAGCTAATTAAATTTATGAAAATACATATATATAAATTTGTAATACATAAATACTTTAAATGTAAAAAAATAGAAATGAAAATACAACTAAACTAAATAATAATAATAATTAAAAAACACATATATTTAAATTAAATCAATAAATGAATTATAATGAATATGTTTCTGACTTACTAAAAAACTATATATGAAACACCTAGTAAAAATAAATATATCAAGTGTGTGTTATATCTTATAAACAGAAAACTAAAAAATTTAAAAAGAAATAAATACAAATCACATATTCAAATAATTCTAAAATTTCATATATTCTCTAGGTCCAACGTAATTTATAGTTCTTTAACCTAAACAGTACATATATTTATATTAAATTATTTATTGACATAACTGTACTTCATTTTTGAAGTATCGACAAATTTAAAAGTTAAAAAATAAATAAAAACAAAAACCACCCACCAAAATGTCGAAACCCGTTCCAATGCCACATACGGAGACACTCGACGAAATGCAACATTTACGCAAACCCGAACCCTTCAATTTCGCAAAATTTCTGTATAATACAGAGAACGGAACGGTAATGGGCAGAGATCGCGCCTCATGGGGTAAGTTATGCGGGAGCTATACCTATTATATATATGAAAAGCAATTTCCGGCTGATTTATTGATATCTTCATTTAGTTCTTATAATAGTTATTAACTTCAATAAATCTTCAGTTTGAGCTGAAGCCACTAAAACGTGACTTTGCAGCTAGTTGAAATAGGTATACACCATGAATAAATCAATCAGCTAGTTAATGACCCTAACGGAAAATAGAGTTATGAATTTTCTTTCTTTATTTAGTTTCTGTGATTGCAAAACATTTTAATTATATGTCGTTTAATTTACACCTGCTCTGTCGGCGTTGCCACCTGGCGCCAGCCCGACATACTTTCAACATGTTAGATGTACCATGGGTGTACTACCTGTCCATTGGGCAGGTGCTAAACAAACATGACGTTAAATAACTGATTGTTAAATCCGGCCAAGATAACCATCAAACACATTTCTCAGAGAAATTAGCAACTTGAAATGTCAAATTGCGCCAAATGCGAATAGTGTGAAAACTACATGAGAAATAATTTAGAAAATGCAGTCATATAATGTATATTATTTGAATATTTGCTTTATACAATTCATTGCTTTTCTTTTTTAATATTATGAAGATAATATATAAAATGCGTTAAAAATTGTAAAAATAAATATTATTAATAATACAATAAGAATGTTTTTTGGGATATTTTAGATAACATTTATAATATGCCTTGTATATCTAGAAGCTATTATAAAAATATTTAAAATCATATTTATATTTATATAATAATTATTTTTAAATATTTATATTACTTTATAGATGAATATATTTAAATTAATTAAAATACCCCATAGAAATATTGCACTTTCACCTTTTATATATTGTATATTTTTTCAAATTTACTTTTCAGGCTGATTATTTCATATTTCGAGTATTAATATTATTTAATTTTTGTATATATTAAATTAAAAATTAAATACAAAGCTCATATTTAGTATCATTTATCATATATAAACATTTCTTTCATTTTATTAGCTGTTTATACCAATTTTTTTACTTTATTTAATTTGTGTCTATATATTTTTTACCTACCTACCTACAACAAACCCTAGCCTCAAGCACACACTCAGTGCCTCGCTTAATACCAAACTCAAACTTTACTCTCACTGCTACTTCCAGTCGCTCTCTCCTTCACTCTCTCCCTCACTCTCTTTCAATTGCCAAAGATGTTGACCAAGTTGAGGTTATGTCCACAGCACGACGCGCCGTCTCAATGTGTGCGTGAGCGCACGATCCATGAAGAGAGCGGAAGTGAGAGAGACAGACAGCATTTGTTTACTTGCGCGCTCTTGAGCGTTTCAACGTCTTCGCTTACGTGTCTTATACTTGGGCTTGGATCTTATATTGCTTATGCTTCACAGCTCTGAGACAGTCTCTGGTTAAGCGCAGCAAGCAACGGTTCGATCATATACGACTCGGTTATTACGAATTGGTCAGTCTTAAGAGTTGCCGCTCAGACTCCGCGCATTATCAATTAAGTGTCTATCCCATTGCCGCCTCTTGGTTCAGCTGAGTCGCGTCTTTAAGTGCTTAATTTAATCAGATCAATTGACGGGGCGACATTTCTTGTGTCTCTATGAATCTTTAATAATTCTTATGTGACTCTAATTCTATTTGCTTTGATATGGTTAACTAATTATTTATCTCTCACTCTCTCTGTCTTTCTTTTATAGCTAAGATCGGCATATTCTATATAATTTTCTATGGCGTGCTCGGCGCCTTGGTGGCCATATGCATGTGGGCCTTTTTTCTAACTCTGGATCCGCGCATACCCAAATGGAAATTGGAAAGCTCCATCATTGGCACAAATCCAGGTAAGCTCCATAACTTATGTATGAATCTGTATATAAATTATCTTCTATTAACATATATTCGAATTAGGTCTCGGCTTTCGTCCACTGCCGCCCGTCGACAATGTGGAGAGCACTTTGATCTGGTACAAGGGCACTCAGTATGAGAACTACAAACATTGGACGGATTCTCTTGATGAATTTCTGGAGGGTAAGGCTCTGAGCATTGTTAAATAGGTCTCGCATGTTTCTAGTTAGTGTTACAAATGGTCATGAGCTGCTTTCTTGTTGTTGTTGCCAGGACATTTATTTATTGTTTTAGAATGGGGTGCTTGACGACACGCAACGTGTTTAGCATTTATTTTAATTAAAATAAAATATCGACTTTTTAGCCAGACACAAACACATGGCTTATGCTCAGGGGTTTATTGGGGTATAGAAATTGGGGTCGTTACTAAGAACATATCGAATAAATAATGATGACAGATGATGGCAATATGTTAGGTCAGGGTACACACAATATATCTATCTCAAATTGACAGGGACAAAGGTCAGTTATGAGATTGAGATAAATAAATGATAAGAATTTTGACCAAAGCAACCTGCTGTTAAAAGGCGTTATCTTAAAACTTTATAGATATCAAGTATATCTATTATAATAGGATTCGTATGATATCTCAACTAGTCGATTTCAATGCTCATCTGGTGTTTATTTTATTTTTCGCTCAGTGTACAAGGTCCCTGGCTTGACACCAGGACGTGGCCAGAACATCTACAATTGCGACTACAATCAGCCCCCACCGAGAGGTCAGGTGTGCGATGTGGACATCAAATCCTGGGCGCCTTGCACCAAGGAGAACAACTACAGCTACCACAAGAGCTCGCCGTGCATTTTCCTCAAGTTGAACAAAATCTACGACTGGAGGCCAGATTTCTACAACAACTCACAGACCCTGCCCGCAGACATGCCCAGTAGTCTGAAGAACCACATATCCGAATTGGAGAAGACAGATCCAATCAAGGTTAGGATGACTATATAATACAGATTCCAAAGATTATCATTTTTCAAATTAAAAATATAATTTTATAATATATTATATATTATATATAATAATAATAACACTAATATTTTTTCAATTTCTACTATTACTGGAAATATTTCAATTATATCCTTTATATACAAAAACTAGCTAAATACGATTTGGGTATCCTGCGAGGGCGAGAATCCTGCCGATCAGGAGAACATTGGCGTTGTCAAATACTATCCGATTCGCGGCTTTCCCGGCTATTTTTACCCCTATCAAAACTCCGAGGGCTATCTGAGCCCCCTCGTCGCAGTTCACTTTGAGCGCCCAAAGAGTGAGTATATATATAATCTATATCTATATAATGTTAGTTATGCCATATGTTTCGATTTTCTCCAGGCGGCATCATCATCAATGTGGAGTGCAAGGCCTGGGCACGCAACATCAAGCATGATCGCAAGGACAGAATTGGATCGGTGCACTACGAGCTATTGATTGATTAATTGGCTCGATAAACTATATATATATATATATATAGCAAGTAATAGACGCTCGTTTGTCTAATGTAGAAGGAAAGACAACAAAAACAAAAGAACACCAAAACGAGAAATCATATAAGAATCAAAGAAAAGATTATTCTACCACAACAAATTACACCGAAGTAAAAATTAAAGTTAAACAGAGTTAAATATAACAGTAAACATTTTTGGATACAAGACCATTTTTGAATGTAGCTTCTTCTTATACAAAATAAATAAATAAATATATATATATATATATATATATATATATATATATATATATATATATAACACACAAAATAAAACAAAAACATTTAGCATAAATTTTGTCTACCGCCTAAGCGGATTTTCTTGAAATTACGAGCGATTTTTGCATATATACATATAATGTAATATATATATATGTATATTGATATATATTTATATTATAAATAAAACCTAATTGAAACTATGATAATTTTTTAAAATTCATTATAGTGCTGAATGCTAAAATGCTAGAAATGCCGTTTTGTCAAATGAAAATGAGAAGAAAATTCCAATGTTAGCCAAGTACGAATCTCATTTAGCGCTGTTCCAAAAACAAAAACCAGACAAATTTACATGTTATTATTGCTAATTTTAAATTACAATTAAACTGCCATGAAAAAGAAAAAAAAAAAAAAAACGCAAATAAAAATAGAAATAAAGGTAAAAATTTAAAGAACCAGCGACCATTTTTTTAGGAGCCTCAAAAATAAAATGGAAATCAAATATATATTAAATACATATTTACAACTTTTGACCAAAAACTAAATTAAAACCTACAGCTGACCAGATTTTCGGAGCCAAAAACAAATTAAAAAAGATATTTTCCATTTACTAAAGAAAGAAAAGAAAAAATACAACAAACAATCTAATATACAAAAACAATCTTTTATATACGGCAAACTATATATATAACATTTTTGCATACCTTTACATATTTAAAATTTATATATATATACACATAAACATATATATGTGAATGTATATGTATCTGTATGTGGTCCAATATTAAGCTAAACTACACAAACACAATCACACACAACAAACTCTCAAGTTGGTCGAAATGCGAATATGTAACAATCAAAGACGAAGAAGAAGAAGAAGCGGAGCAACAAAAAAACCAACAACAGCAAGAATTTTACAGCGTTTAGTTTTTAAGCTAATGTTAAATACAACAAAAAACACAACAAACACAGAAACAAGCAAAACTCTGATTTGGCTAATGTAAAAACAAATTCATTTTCAAACTGTTCTCAATAAAAATGAGCGATACAAAAATAAATCTAAAAGCATTTTATTTTATCAAATATTAAAAAAATTAAATTCAATCTTCTTAAAATTTTTAAAATATTTATTCAATAAATTAAATTCAAGAAATCATAAATTCTTTAAAATTATAATATATAGATAGTTGTCATATGTCATTTTACGTACAATAGTTGATATTCGACTATTATTGGATTGGAAATATGAGATATAAGAGTTAAAATGTAAGATTAGATATACGATATTTTTATCGATTATAATGATCAAGTTTTTTAGCTATTTATTTGTTTAGCTTATACAAATTTAAATAAAGAAGTATCGAAATCTATATCGATTAGGTGAGTAAGCTTTACCTGAAGAATTAGCATTAAAATTCATCACATTTTATTAATTTCGTCTACGAAGTATTCAAGTAAATATTCCATAAAGCAGATATCTCTCTTGATAATGATTTGGTAGAGGAGCACTCACAATTTTAGTCATATGCCGTTATTTGAGTTATATAAACCTTAATTGTTGTCGCACTGTTGCGTAGTCACATTCTGCTTTTAGATAAGATAGAGAATACGACAATAGCAATAGTACTCGTAACCCAGATAATAATCACAAATCTGTTCAGTCACTTGCGTTTCTCGTCAGCAGAGTGAACCAAAATAAGATCGATACGCCAGTTCGCCATATGTATGTAATATACACATATATACATATATATTCCATATAGATATGTTATCAGACTTGATTTTTTCAATTGCGTCACTGCAACTCATTATAAGAAATCCCGTTACTTATTAATGATATATTTATTTATTTTCCAATCATATTTCAATAGCGTTTTCAGTTTTAGTGGGTAGCTTGAACAATTTGTATAAAGTCTACAAATTCGTCATACACTATATTTCTATATTTTAAAATACTTCATTTGTTATTACCATTTACTGTTTACCTGTTAGTCGATCTCAGCTAATACAAGCCTACTTCATATTTTTCTACAACCGTAGGTATTTTTGTTATTCATATTCGTATGATCTAAATTGATTTGATCTACTGGTTCTGCTACATTGTCCGATATGTTTCTTCACATAATCAATACTTAGGTGTTAAAATTGAAGCAGCTGAGCTAAATTGTGGCACTTGAAATATACCACTCATGGTAACAGGTTATTTCTGGAATCAAGGCAATACACAGATTGCTATCCGATAATGGTGTCAAAGTAAATAACGTATTTTGTATACAAAATTAATTTTGATTGCGATTATCGTCATCAGAGGTTTGAGCAGAAATCTTTCTTTCATAAAATAAATTACAATTTCAGAGCAGAAATCGAAATTATCTAAAATTTGTATTATTTTATATAAAATTACATAGAAATCTAAAAGAAATTGTAGCACGTGATTTATAAAGATGCAAAGAACTCAAATTAGCTTTCTTCTTCTGATATTTTAAGCTCATCTTAAGCTCAAGTCACAGCTTGCTGTATTCAGTACATAGCAAAGCTACATATTTTGCGATCAGATCGCTAGACTGTACTAATTGGCAGCTAATTAGCTAATATACAGCCGCTTGGCTGACTGCAAATCAACAAAGTACACAACGAGCGTATAGCGAAAATAAAAATCTTTTTTACAGAGGAAAAATCAAAAAACTTCGCTTTAATGAGGAAGCATCATCCCATCGATAAGAATGCCTCTGCTACTGGAAAAATCACAACAGTTTCAGTTCGAACAAGATAAACCGGTTTTATTTCTCTTTCGTTTGTTAGATTTCACAAAGCTCACGTTACGATTCCCGAGTATTCCAACTCAGTGCTTCTATTTTATTTTTATTTTTATTTATTTTTTTTTTTAATTTTTGATTTACTTAAGTCAAAGTCGAGCTCAAGTCGAAGTTGAGCCTGAACAAGGCAATTCTTTATGACAGATTATGAATTGATGCTCAGCAAGTATGCTGTGACCACAAGCCAGTTTTAACTTGATCTCAGAGCACAGGGCTTTACATGTGCTTGCACTGAAATCTATTGAAAGTGAGCAAATTTCTGAAGACTGCTCTAAGTCTTGGCTGTTTCACAATAGCCTTTCCCTGCCACTTGCCCTTTAAGCATTCAGTTTCTTCTCTTGTTGCGCATATGCCATAAATGCTGGCAGGTTCCTGTTTGGATACCCTGTGCCCATGAAATAAAGAGTGGAATTCAGATTTCGGTACATCAGATACAAGCTGAGATTCAAATACATATACAGATACGTATGCAGACATAGATACAGATACAGATACAGATGCAGATGCAGATACAGATACCCATAGATATAATACATATACATCAAATATGTAAATATATTTTAATTTATTAGAATATTCCCTTTAAGTCTAATTTCATCAAAAACCTAACCATTTTTCTACTCATTTAAGTGATTCGTTTTTATCTAATCTGAACAATCTACCCAGTGCTACTTGTACAATATATGAACTCCTTATAAAAGCGAAGAGAGAATGCTTCTTTATAGCTGTCGCCAATGAGTTGCTAAGCGCCTCTAATGAGATACCCGTCATTTGTGGGGCATGAGGGTGGTATAAAGCGCTGTCAAGTATAATTTAATAAATTTATGATGATTACAACAATGAAGCGCAAAGATTGAAAGACTGCAGCGCATCTACACACATACGTACATCCACAAAAGGCAATCAGATTGTGGGAGTTCTCTAGGAGGGCGTGCCCCAAGGGCAACAGCCAACTGCGGGAATGTGTTGGGGTTGTGTTGGCGGAGTCATATACTTATTTGCAATGACAACGCTCGAGAGTTGAACTCGAGTTACACTCGGAAATGCTCGTTTATGCGAATTAATAATTCAAAATTGCTTTGACACTTAGTAACGGCTTTTCACATGACCCGATGACTAATACAAAAGCCCTTGATGCAAATAATAGCAACAACAAAAAGGGCAATTTTTGAGGGTGCACGCACATAAAGAATGTTTTTCATTTTCGCATTTATGTTTTGTTCTTTATGTACACCGAAGCATAATAAAGCAAACACAAAAGCTTATACACGTACGCACACACACAAACACATGTTTACGATAAACGAAAATGCTCCCAAAAATGTGTTTTGACATAAAAACACAACAAAACACAATGTTGGCGCTCCCAGAAAAGACGAAAGAAAAAAACACGCACACACCTACATATACAAACAGACGAACTAAAACAAAGATAGAAATCAAGCTATGTGGAGAGTGTGGAGCGCCTAGCTGAGCATACGAAAAGGCAATGTACTCTCCGCACATGTTAATGTGTTAGTGACTATTGAAAAATAGGAGAGTGCAAAAAGAGAGCAGAGCTTAATTTATATGCATTGCCACAGCACTCTGCGTGCTTTATTTTAATACACTTATATTTGAGAAGCAACAGTTATGCATTAGAGAGAAACAGGGGCGTAGTTAAGACAATGAAGATTCGGCCAGAACTATACTTTTAGAGTCCGGAAGGATTCGCACGTTAAACGCAGATGACATTTAAGTAAAGTAATTGTGTTACTTCATAACACAATTTCAAACTTCATTTCAGTTTCATCATATATAAATATTGTTTAATAAAATATATTTATGTAAATTACTAATATATATTTATATATTTTAATATTATATATTTATTTAAATCAGTAGTATAATGTGTTCACTTACCCGCTGCAGCGCTCCTGTAATTCACCCTGCCACCCAGCTGTCTGGCCACTGTCTGCAGACAGTCCGTTCGCATAGTCACAAAGCATGAGACAGAGAGAGAGAGAGAGAGAGAGAGAGAGACAGATTGCGCGAGGCGTTCGCAGTACTAGCAAAAGCAGCCATCATAACACAAATTTCGGATGACGCCTGCACCACCCACTCCTCCCCAATATATAGAAGCTTTCTGTTTTGGCGGCTTAGTTGTTTTTGTTTTGTTTTTCCTTGTTGCTGTCAAAAGCGTTCAACAGCTGTCTGTACGCGAATGCTTGAATACTCGAATACTCGTATCGCATACATGTAGCTTTCGCTGCACTTGTGTGTGTGTTGACTGAGAGGCGAGCGCTGCAAGTGTGCGTGTTGAGCAGCGCAGTAACTGAAGACCGAGCTGTCGACGCTGCTGTCGCTGTCGATGTCGATGTCGGTTTGGCCACCACATTTTGTGGTTCAGTTGGTGATCTTTCGCCGAGAGCGCAACACGCAGCACGCAACGTGAATCGAGTGGCAAACAGTTAGCTGTATTTTATTTGTGTGTATGTGTGTGTCTGTGTGCGCGCGTTAACATTACATTGAATTATCATTACAGCAAATATTGGAATAACAAATTACCCAAAACAAAAAAATAAGCAACATTAAAAAATTAACATTACGTGCTGATTCCTGAAGCGAATAATCAGAAAGCATACGTATGTATATAGGTACCTAAAGTGTGTTGTTTAAACATTACGGCAAAAATATTTGTATTCAAATTCTTACGTACCCCGTCCACCATCCACGTGAGCAACAAATAGCAAGCGCAATCAAAATACGTGAATAAATACACATTTATATTTATATATATATACATATATTTATAAATAAAATTCACAGCGTACACTCACGATTTGTAATAACTATTCGAATTCGTAAAACAAAAACACACGAAAAGTAAAATAAGGAAAAGAGCGCCAAGCAATGTCGAAGAACAACGGTAAAAATGAAATATACGAAAATCAATTCCCGCAACCGGCTAAGAAGCAAACCATCTCGGAGATGATCTACGATCCAAGCAATGGCGCTATTTTTGGTCGCACCAGCAAAAGTTGGGGTAAGTGAATCAATAAATTATACAAAATTTGTTAACCAAAAAAGATTGCAAGAGAAATACGTATAATATACTCGGAGTTCAACTGAAGCGCAGCGCCCTCTCTCGGCACACACACTCGACTAATTCTGAAAGCTGAGCTTTGCGTGAAATTTTGCCGAAGGACAGAGTACAACCGCTCTCCTTGCCTTCTCCTTTCGACTCTCTTCATCTCCATTTAACAGCATCAGATGCATAGCGAGCTTATCAAAGAGCCTAGCCTTAACCCACTCTCTTGTCAGCTCGCTCTCTCAGAGTTTATTATGGGATTACGTAGATTGGCCCTACGTTAATCGAATGCCAAGTCACAAAGAAGAAAAGGCGAAAGAATCAAATGAGTAAAATGCTTACATATATTTACATATGCTGTATGCACACACGCATATACATGTACATGTTTCGGTCATTCGAAAATGAGTGCAAATAAAATATAAAACTCGCTTATCAGCTGCAACTTATTAGTCTCTCTCTTTCCTCTCTCTCTCACTATCATTCTCTCTCTCTCTCTCTCTCCCTGTTTGTAGTTATTTGAGCGCATGAAATGCAAAACAGGCTTTAGATGTCATTGCCATATGTAGAACTCTTACGAGCAGATAAAACTCGAAACTAGATAAAATTTATATGGTATATACATATGTATATATTGTTTGTGACAAGCAAATTAATTAAGATGCATAATATATTATAGATGTATACGTACACGTACATACATGTCGGCATACATACGCACACTTTCTTGATTTGCGGTTTTCATTAGTTTCTAGCGGCGTAAATGAAATAAAATTATTTTACTCAATTAAGCAATATATATATAACATATGTACATAAGTAAATTATAAGCAAATGAAAATTTAATTTTAAAATAATATTATTTTATTTTTTTATTTCTACATATATAAGTGATGAAACATAATTCAAGGCAAAAATTTCTTCATAAAAGATTTCATTTATTAACATTCACTGATTACTCATACAACAATATTGTTAATTGCTTAAGAAAGTGATTCATATTTGAAAAAAAAAAATAAAATAAAAAAATGGTAATATATAATGGATAATAATAAAACTCTGTCAGTGCTAATGAACAAATGTCAGGTACCATATTAAATTTTAATAAATTATTATTTGAAACTTCTACTTCTCCCCTAAAAACTTAGTAAATTTGTATTATTATTTTTTATGTAACTTCAAACTCCTCCCCTATCTCACTTACAAATCAAATATAATATTGCATAAATAAATTCTTGAAGTCTATGTAATTTTCTTTCATATTCCATTGCCTCAAAGCTCAAAAACTAAAATAAAATACAAATTCTATATGAATTCATTAACATTATTAGTGACGTACATGTCTACACTTTTATTAAAAATACTTATAAATATTTAAATTGCCAATGCTCTAAAGCTCTATATACCTATACATATGTATGTAAATATATATGCGAATATATAATTATATATCTATTTGTGCTCACGAAAGCAAAACAAAAATTTTGACTTTTGGTCAAAAAAAAAAAAAAAAAAATGAAAAAGATAAAAACTGTAATGCCAGCAAAAACACGGACGCATGTTTCTAACTATAGAGAAATAGAGAACAAATAGAGAGAGATAGAGAGAACAAATATGATATTGAGCGCGTAAGAATCGGCGCCTCATTATCTATTTAATGCTGTACTTGAATGAGGCATCACATTTTGTTATTGTAAAAAGTTCTGCAAACTAATTCAAGGTTTCCCACTCTCTCAGTGTCTTCTTTTCTCTTAGCACATACATATGATAAACTATACAAATATATCAGAATCTATCTATATAAATTATGTAGAGAATATTTTGTAAATTTTACGCCCAAAATGTTATCCAAGCGAAAATCAGCTATACAAATATATAAAAACTATATAAAAATGGAAACATGAATAAAAATATAGTGAAAATTATTTAAAATATATAAATCTTAATAATTTGAATTCCCATATATTTTACAAAATGGATAGTTTTTTATTTATATTATATTATTAATTATTTATATACATTTAAATGTATTATAATTTTTTGTATAATTTTTTAAATAATACGATTCTATTTATTGTATATTAAAATGAATTATTGCCTCCCTGCAATTATTTATTCATGAATTTAGTTTCTAATCGTGTATTGAAATTATTTATTTATTTATGAATTTAGTTCGTAATACTATGTAGTAATACCTCACAAGTTCTTAACTGATATTAGTAATAAATGCGCTTTGAGTTTAAGCAAATAAATATTTAATTTATTTAATTTATAAACCAATTTAAAGTTCAATCAATTTAATATTACAAGAGTGAATAATAATTCGTATTGGATACTCTGACAGGCCAAATGCTAGGCCCAGCCCTTATCGAAAACCCCTTTGACAAAGACACAGCTGTCTCTGGTATACCGTCATATACAATATATAGCATTACCTGCACATTGTCAACTCATGCTACACACTCTTCGTATCTTTCGGTTTTCTCTATCATTAAATCTATTTCATGGCTTCAATTTGAGTTTACTTTTGTCTTTTTTTCTGGAAAAATTAAAAAATAATTATTAATATGTGCTCCGGTCGAGTCTATTAAATAATTGACTTTCTGATTCAATGTAGAGCCGAATTTAATAAATCTAAATCGCTGCAGACTGGATTGTAGGACATTCATATATATATATATATATATATATATATATATATATATATATATATATATATATATATATATATATATATATATATATATAGTAGCTTTATAAGTAGCTTAAACTAAATTAAAAATCTCACTCTTTTCATTAAATTCGTGTTACGTAACTAGCGGATGTAATACAAAACAAGAAACACTAAATTCGCTAATCTATAGACAACATTGAATCTATCTAACTATTCAGTAATATCTGTGTCATGATTAGAACAAATACTCGCTGAAAAAAAAAACCTGAAACGGCGCAAACAAACATAAAAGAAATAAAAAATCAAAACACATTAACAAATGCTACAGTTTGGTTTTTCGATTAATTCTTTTTTTTTTTTTTTTTTTTTTTTTTCTTATAAACCATGTGATAGATGGTATCAAACCGGTTCATCGGCTTTTTAAAAATTGCTGGAAATGCTTTCATTACAAATGCTGTTGCCAGCATTTATTATAGTTTACTCTTCTATGGTGGAGTATATGGGGTATATCGGTTTTATTGTGTTTGTTTAGCTCTAAGCAGAAATTTATTAATTATATAAAATTAGTTGGGTAGTTTGAATTAAGCATGTAATTAAAATTGAACTTTTAAATTTTTTTTTGTATAATGTCAATTTCTACAAAAATATAAAACAAAACATCTAGATAGAACTAAATGGCTTATAAAATACATTAAAAATATAAATATCTATCGAAATAAGTCTTCTATAAGTAGTTGACTTGGCACAAGAATTTAGTGAATAAATGAAAAATGCTGCACAAACAAACATAACATTTAAAAATTTCATAAATTAATTTTTTTTAGTTTGCATTTTGTTTCAAAAGTTTGTTTGTGCTGCATTTTTTTTTATTTAAATCTTTTTGTTGTTTTGGCGCTCTTCCTCTTTTTTTAGTGCAGCATTTGCAACAGCGACAAATACAACAACAACAACAACTAGAGCAGTAGCATGAAGAACAGTTGGCAACACCTGTATGTCAATTCAAGTTCTGGCCAAAACCAGTTTTATCGGCTAATTACTGCATGCGGTCTCGAGGGTCATTCCATTGCCCTTCGCTCCCCTTAATTTGATTTTAAGCCACAGCGACCGACCTCGCACCCTTGCGTTCAGTTCAGTCGACAACTCATTTAGATGTTGCGAGATGCAACACACACACCACCATACACACTATCTATGTGTGCGTGTGTGGGTTTGTGGTCGATTTCCCGACCCTGTTAATACTCGATTTATCGCTTAGATTGTTTCTTGTCCAACTAACACACTGGAAAATTCGCCAATGTGCTCAAAGCTTTTAACTTTTAATTTTTATATTCCATATATTATATTCAGATAATAGCTTATATAGTGCTGGGTTTGGAATAAGGACAACATCTATATATCTATTTTTTATACATACTTAAATATTTTAGTCATAATCTGTTTAAGTATAATTATGAAAAAGAAATATTTTTGTTTCCCCAATATGAATTCCAATATATGATAATAACATATATAAAACCTGCATTAAATCGAATTCCTTTCAGCTAAAAA